AGGAAGGGTCACTGGACCGAAACGTTAACTCTGTTTTCTCCTCCACAGATGCTGCCAGACCTGCTGAGCTTTTCCAGCAACTTTGTTTTTGTTCCTGATTTACAGCATCCGCAGTTCTTTTAGTTTTTAGTTGAACCAAAGAATCTATTTCTGTGCTGTACAGCTCTTCGACTGTCTTTCTTGACTAATGCTGTTAACTCTTCCTCCATTTGCTCAACTTTTGTAGATGAGCCTTATTGTCCTAATGTGGTGTGAGACAATTATTCCATTACTTTTTAGATAATATGATTATATAGAAACATTGGGTCAGCTGTCACTACCAAAATAGTGATGAATCTAATGTTGATAGTAGTTATTTATGCAAAAATAAATCACCATTCAGCAAGGGATGTATCTGAGATTATACGCAAATACAGAGAGACCCAGGGTTGTGAACGAATTCTGTTACCGAGAACATGCTCAAGTTGATCTGAACACAATGCAGAGCAATATAAAGCAGCCATTCGTAATTACATGAAATGTTTGTATGTTGGATATTCAAAATTACACCCCTGTGTGGGATTGCATTTGAAAATCAGATGTTTGTAAATTGGGGGCCTCCTGTTTCCAAATTTTACTGACTGAGCTGCATGCTGTGCTGTTGGCTTTGTACAAAGGGCATTTTGTTGCCTCCCTCACCATTTGTATGAAGTTGGAATATTTGCAACCAATGTGGACATGTGATGACACCTTTGGGGCAGCTAGTACTTGAACCTGGACCTTCTAGCCCAGAGGTAGTGACACATATGTATGACAAGACACTTGTAAACCCTGCTGCCCCTGGTATTCCCAGGTGAACTCCTGTCCAAGTACTAGCCAGATCAAAGTTTGTTTAGCTTTTGAGATCAGACCCTTCCAAAACTATTGTGGTTGTGAGCAAAATACTTTTAATCAGCCTGTTCAGACCTGACGTGATGCATGTCTTGCTACAAGCTGGATTTCATCGTGTATCTTCTGGCTCAGAGGTAGGGACAGTATCAATGCTCCTTTCGTGGTGCGTATGAACTCAACCTGTAAAAGATGTTAGGTCTGGTAATTACAAGTATAAACTCTTGTAAGGATGTGCTAAGTGATCACAACGACATAAAGATGACTGAAAATAACTGAAATAAATGGTTGTGGATTGTTCAAATTGATTTCAAGACTAAAGTTTTTTTTTTCCTTTTTCTTCCTAAACCAATCTTTCCCTGTCTTTGACTTTATTTACCTCATTTATATTTTGGTTCCAACAACTTTAATTCACTTTCTCTGTCATTTTGCTGTTAAGGAAGATGTTCGCTTGCATCTCTCTTTCCTTCACTGCAGCATTATTCACTTGCTTTCAATAAACTAGTGGACAAATTGTTTTGAGCTTATTTGTTCAGGGCTAAGTCTCTAATCAATGCAGCTGTGCTGGATGACCTACTACAGCAGAATTAAATCCAGTGTTGATTTTTGGTTTCCCCTGTTGTTAGTAGAAACTGTCCATCATGTATGTAAGTATTATTTGTCCAGCCACAATCACTAATTATGTAAGTTTACATTAGTTGTACTGTTGAGTTTGAACTTTGTCTTTTACATTTATCTTTGCTCTAAAGTATTACTAAATAACATTTACTTCTAGAAGTCAAATAAACGTCTACTTTCCTAACTAGAGTAGATTTAATCAGGCAAAGAAATGAGGGGACAAGGTGTAGAGCTGGATGAGCACAGCAGGCCAAGCAGCATCAATATCCGCCTCCCCCTCTCTCCCTATTTATTTCAGATCCCCCTTCCCCTCCCCTATCTCTGAGGAAGGGTCTAGGCCCGAAACGTCAGCCTTCCTGCTCCTCTGATGCTGCTTGGCCTGCTGTGCTCATCCAGCTGTACACCTTGTTATCTCAGATTCTCCAGCATCTGCAGTTTCTACTATCTCTGAAAGAAATGAGGGGTTTTATTTTTAATAATCTGTTGTTTAAATTCCTCCATTTTGAAAAGAGAAACTTATGGTGATATTGTCATCGTAGAGCTTGACACTGGTTTCAAGGGCACCTGTGGAACAATGTGTTTAAATAGATAGCTTTCAAAGCTCTGAAAAATGGAATGCACCAAACTATATTATATATTTCCTCATTTACATTAATGAAGAATAAATTTGAAACGTGTTTATTTTCATTTTGTTCCATTTTTAATTTGCTTTATAATTTGCATTAATCACCAGTTTGTTAGCTACCATTTTCTAAGTGTTGGAATTCATTATGTTTTAAATTTCTGTTTATCCTTCAGGATTCAATATTATAACTTACTGTTACCAAGATCCTCAAAGTCTGGGTAATTGACAGATGGCTTAGAATTTTTATCAAGCATTACATTGGGATGAGCTGGTGGGAAAATGCTTGTGATACAGCAGAGCATTTTAACAATACTGGCACTCACTATTGATGGACAAAATGACAAGAAAGCATATCTGACAAGAAAGCATATCTGACCAAGTAATCCCAATAAATTTATTTTGGTCTGCCGGGTGCTTTCTACAGTGGCTGACAAACCAGGTTGTTGTGAGTAAAAGGAAAGCACATTGCAAAAGCTGCATACCAGACGTTGTCCCGTTTTCACTCTAATTAACTTTATATCCTGAAACTAAACTAAAAGAGCTGATACTGTCAGGTGCCCTTGTTTGAAGTGTATTTACAGATGGACAGCAGGCAACTGAAAACACAATTCCTACGTAACATTTCCATGTTTGTTATAATTTGTATTTCTGAGTGAACGTTCATTGTCATCCTTATCCATTACCTCCTTGCCTATGATATCCTAATAAGTGATAATGGATGCATCTTAATCAATAGTGACAATCATTAATAGCCTTATCACTGTAGTTGTGAGCAGACAGTGAGTCAGAGTTTGAGTTGCTGAAGTTGATTTGTCTCCCTATTCTTTAAGCAGGTAAAACTGCTTTTCAGACAAAATTTGAAATGATCCAATTCACCATTCAATGTCACTGTTAGGTCCTTAGATTGTACCTTCCAAATCTATGACCACTTCCATCTAGAAGGACAAAAGCAGTAGACACATAGGAATGTCACCACATGCAAGTTCCCCTCCAAGCCACTCACCTCCCTGACTTGTCGTTCCTTTGCTGTTGCTGGGTCAAAATCGTAGAATTCTGTCCCCAGTGGAATTGTGGGTCTACCCACGGCACACAACTGCAGTGGTTCAAGCAGACAGTTCATCATTTTTTCAGGGGCAACTAGGGACCAGCAATAAATGCTGTTCATCCAGTGATGCCTAAGTCCTATGAGAGAACAACAATGTGGAATTTACAGCACGGTATTGGGCCATTTGGTCTAATTGGTGTATTATGGTATTTATATTCCACACAAGTTACTTCCCATTGTGTCTTAATTTCCTTACATTTAATTCTCCCTGCATATATATTAAGGTTTCCTTGAAATGAGTCAGTGCCACTTGCTTCAGTCACTCAACATGGCTATGCATTCCACATTTTCGTCATTTTCTGTAAAAAGATTTCTCAAATTATTTGTTTGATCTTTGTTTTGTTGGCTCTCCTACATTTATTACAGCTGGTCTAGATTTGCTTACAAGTTGAGGCCATTTCACCATGTTTGCCCTCCACAAACTTTTTAGAATGGTCAAGACCTCTACCAGTTTTCCTTAAGCTTTTCTTTTGGATTTTTGGTGTCCTATCATTTCTGCACTTTCTCATATTTTCAGTCTCGCCTTGAATTTTCGAGAAGTGTTTTGCGTAAATTTGTATGCATCCAGAACAAGGCTGGCACGCAGGGTTTGGTTCTGTGATTCATTCTCTGCTTCTCAAGTGTATCCTGTTGAGGAATTGCCCCAGACATAAACAGAAATTGGTCAAGTTAACAAGAACTTCCATGCTTGCTGTTAATCTCCAATATAGATTTTTTTTTTTGAAAGTTAGTCCTGATTGAATGAGATTTAGCTCTGTTTGTAGTGGTCAACTAACTTCACAATTGATGTTGAACATCATCACTGGCCCTGAGCTGCTATATTTCCATTTGTTTTTATACTTTGCCTGGCATTATCGTAATCTTTGGCACCTGTGTTTAAATTAAAAAGCAACATGTTTTAACTTCCCTGAATTTCTATACCTTTGTTTCCTGTTCTGCAACCATCTGTCAATCTATTCTGCTACCGGGCCTTGACTCGATGTATACCAGACTTTATCAGGAGCACCTTTTTTATAGTGCTATGAGGAAAAGATAGGGGTGAGTTGAGTTTCTTTAGCAATGAACCAAAAGGACATGATGGACTGTTTAGCCTCCTGTGCTGTTACTATTTGAGGATTCCATGTATCTGCCAACTCGTAATATATCATGTCAACCCATGTTGTAACACTGCATGTTGTACCTTCATGTAGATATTTTAAATCAAGATACTCAAACCAGTCATGACACATGGCTGAGGCAGGTGGGACTTGAACAATGACTTTGTGGTTGGGGAGGGAAGAGGGAAAGCTGGCAGTCTGAGTCTTTTGTGTAATGTGATCCTTTCAAAATTGAAACTTTTATCTTAATTGTTAAAGTGAGTTATTTCCAACCTTTTAAAGCAAAAATGTACACAACAAATTTTAAGCACATTTTTGTTCAAAGCGTAATTAAATTTAAATTTTGTAGGTTTAAGTATTTTTATGTCTTTGTTCTGTTGCAGATGTGATGCAGATCCATCCGCACTTGCTAAATATGTTGTTGCTTTGGTGAAAAAGGATAAAAGTGAGAAGGAGTTGAAGGCACTATGTGTTGACCAATTAGATGTCTTCCTGCAGAAAGGTATAGTAAAAAAAGTGTTAGTATTGGATCTGTGGTGCCATGAATGATATCTGGAGATGTTCTCCTATTTTTGTATCTATGTATTGAATATGTATAAAGCAAAATACTTCAGATGCAGAAAGTCCAAAATAACAGAAGATATTGTGAATACACAAGCCTGGTTGCATTTGTGTAAAGAGTAACATGAATTGTCAGATTGATGATCTTTGAGCAGAACTTAAGAGTGCTTAGGGATGTACTAGTTTATTAACAAGACTGAGAAGAAAATGATAGATCTGTGATTGATTGGAAGATAGGAGGCATTAAATCAACAATAACGAAGATGGTACAAGGCATATGCAGCGGGCAATGAGTGCAGAAACCAAAAATTCATCTCATGGATGTATAAATGAAAATAGAAAAGTAATTGGGCAAAAGTTGTTGGCCGAAAAATGCAGTCAGCATGGGAGTGCATCAATATTCATTGTAAGCTTTATTGTCTCATACTGTGTTTTGTCCCATCAATTCTGATGAAATAATCTTCCATACCAATACTTACATTGTGCCTTTTCGTTGAAAACCATGTCTACTCCCTCTTCCTTTCCCATTCCAGAAACATGATTGCAATTCCCAATATCCTTACTGTTTACTGCTCTGGCCTCCTTGTTCGATATTTCTTCCGCTGTCATCTTCAGCGGTTTCCACCCCAAATACATCTACTCCAGAGTCACTCCTTTTAACACTGAATTTGGTGGGATGAATTTCCCTCCATGACACTCACTCTCTCCTTCCGAAGGCATCTTGCTATGCAAGTGGAGGAATGGGAACATCCCATTCACAAAACACTCATGTTGTACTTGTTACTTCACTTGCACTTTGTGTAGTGTTTTATATTTTCCACTTTTGGTACAATTTTTTCTACATTGTAGAGATCAAATACAAATTAGTTGATGGTTTTGTAAACAACTCATGTCATTTGAGATGCAGCCTTGAGGTTCTGGCTATTTAAGTTTAGGATCACTATGAAGCAGACCAGGAGGAATATGAAACGGGCTTCAATACCGATGCGGACCGGGAGAAGTGTGAAATGAGCTGGAATTAGTGTGTAGTAGGCCGGGAGGGGTATGAAACAGACTGGGAATATAGTGAAGCATACTGGGAGGGGTATGAAGTGTGCTGAAGTAAGAAAAGATAAAAATAAACTTATCACATGAAAACCATGAGTTGTTTGGCAGGTAGGTAGTCTAGTCTTTGTTTCTTTTTCTCTAAAGTTGGGAAGTTGGTCAAAGGAACTGGGAAATTAAAAGTTTTATTTTGCTCTTTTACAAGTTTATGGTCAGTGCCATCATCCTATGAATGAATAAAAGAAAACTTGACCTGTTTCTAATTAATAGACCAGAAGTATCTTCCTGGTCTGTCCATTGAATAGTTGCGTGTACTTCAATTAAGGCACTGTATTTGAGTGGAATAAAGTTTTATTGTAATCCCTCTACAGCTTTATCTAGCACATTACTGAAGTTGAGTGCCTAAAGCTGCTTATGAGCCCATTTATCTTTTACCTTAAGTGCAGTCTCACATACTGTAAAGATTGCTACTCTACTTTTTATTCATTATTTTAACTTCAAGTTTTGTTTTAATCATGATATATGCAGTCTAGATCCACTACATATACATCAGCTGAATTGATGTTGTTTTCTTTTCATCATGATGTTCCATTTACCTGTGCATTCACCTCTCCCAATATGACTTGTTCCTTATGATAATGGGTTCAACATGTTTTCATACCCTGCATATTATGGCTTAGCTGTTTTGCATTCAAGTTCTGTCTGACTATAAAGGTGTAATTTTGCTACTCCCCTGTTATGTTCCTGGAACCCTACTTAGTTTCCTTGTCGTCGTGTGGTGCTACATCCTTTAAATAAAGTGTCATGCAAATGATCTTGTTCAGTTTTTCAAACTCAATTCCCAAGTGGATTGTACTTTCACTGTATTGAAGATGCCGTTAAAATGATGGGTTTGTATATACTCAGCTTTGGAAAAATTGGGATGATGAGATGAGCAGTTATACATACAGAATAAATAGCAATAAGTTATGAGAGATGTCTGGAAGTATCTCCTTCACTATCACATGCCTTTTGAGACATGCTATTTGAACATAAAGTTGGTGGAAATTTTATGCAGCACTTTGCAAAGAGGCTTGTCAGATTCTTGAGTGAATAGGATAGTAACGGTATAGAAGGCAAAATTGTCAGTTATCTTTTGAGTGTTTATGTCGGTTCAGTCTCTGGTAGCATTTTTTAAATTGCCTTGGGCATCTGGAAAGGAATTTCCTGGTGACGTTTCTGAGTTTGCATGATTTTTTTCTTTTGACTATTCCAGGTAATTTTACAGCTGAGGGTTTGGTTGTATTTTTACTGCACGGATGGTGGGCTTGATGCACTTGATGGTCTCTTCTTGCACTTTGATTCATTCATTCATGTGAATATATCACCAGCTTGTGATCTCTGGATTTGGTTGCAATGCAGGTGCTAGCTACTGCCAAGCAGATGTGTTTACAGCCTCAAGTGTTAGACTTGACAGCAGGTCTTGTGCTGATAAGCTAAGTAATTGGCTGCAACCTAATATCTAATTTAAAAATAAGTTTAATGTGATCATTGGAATTGCTTGTAATTATATTTTCAGTTGACTTTTAATGTTTGATAGTGTTGCACCTAGTGGCTATATTATCTGTGTAGTAATATGTAAGGTGATACATTTTACAACAGTCCATTCAGTGCTTGTATCCTATGGTTTATGTCCATATCCAACTTTCTACTCGATTTTCAGTCAGATCTTGGTAAATTGGCCAACCGGGAAAGATCAAGATGTTTTAAATACTTTGGCAAAAAAAAGCTTAATTTCAGGATTTTTTTGCAACTTTTATATGGTGGTTTAAGGTTCGTTTTGTCCAAATTGGGCTTTACCCATGACATTGGTCAGCAGTTGTTAAGTGTTGCAAGTTTCTGCTGAAGTGCTGATAAGGAAAGGCTAGTATTCTTGATTTCTCTCTTTAATGTGTTGGGGTTGGTGGTCAATCTTATAATGCTTTTGATAAAATCTTTTGAGCAGTAAGGGCGGTAGCATTGAACTTAAGAAATAGATTAGAGGAGTGGACAGACAAGTGAAATTTAGCATCCCAGAAATAATTATGAATCAGAAGTTAAAAAGGAATGAGGAATTTATAACAGTGGGCAGGTAAAGGATACAGAGTAAATTATTAAAACTAAAAGCTGACAAATACCCTGGCCCTGATGGATTTCATCCTTATGTGTTAAAAGAAGAGGCCACTGAAACAGTAAATGCTCTGCTTGTAATGTTAAAATTTCTGAAATTCTGGAAAGGTTCCATCAGACTGGAAAACAGCAAATGTAATTCTTCTATTCAAGAAAATGAGACCAGTAAGCATAAAATTTGTTGTAGAGAAAATGCTGTAATTAATTATTAATGAGATTATATTTAGACACCTTAATGCGGTCAGGCATAATTGACGTGGTATTATGAGAGGGAAATTAGGTTTGTCTAATTTGTTAGGAGTTCTTTGAGGAAGCATCAAGTTGCATAGATAAAGGAAAACTGGCACAGGTACTGTACATGATTTCCAGAAGACATTTTAGAGGTGTCGCATCAAAGATTATGACCCGTTGTAGAAGATAATCTCTAACCATGGATAGAGGATTGCTTCACTAATACGAAGCATAGGTTGGATTTAAATGTATTGGTTCTGATGAGTCACCAAGCCAAAAACGTTAGCTCTGTTTTTTTCCCCACAGATGCTGCTAGTCCTGCTGAGTTTTTTCAGCAATTTCTGTTTTTGTTTTCTTTTTTGCATTGGCAATATGTTTCAAGTGGTGTGCCACGGAATCAATGCTGGGCCCTCAATTATTTACAATTTATATCAGTGTTTTGGGTCAAGGGATTAAAGATATGGTTGCTAAATTTGCTAATGATATAAAGATAGGATGCAAGCATATTGTGCAGACTTCTTATGTCCCTTTCACAGGGAATTAGGTTGATGCGAATGAGTAAAAATGTAGCAGATGGAGAATGTAGGGAAACTGTGAACTTGTCCACTTTGACAAGAAGAATAGGAAATATAAAGTCACTACAGTGTGGAAACAGACCACTTGGCCCATCAAGTCCCCACTGACCCTCTGAAGAACATGTCACCCAGACCCAGACCCTATCCCTATCCCTGTAACCCTGCATTTCCCATGGCCAATCCACCTAACCTGCACATCTTTGGTATGTGGGAGCAAACCAGAGGACCCGTTGGAAACACGCGCAGACACAGCAAGAATGTGCAAACTCCACACAGTCATTCGATGGTGGAATTGAACCTGTGTCCCTGATGCTGTGAGGTAACAGTGCTAACCACTGAGCAAAGTAATATTTAAATGGAGATAAGTTATAGAACTGAGGTTAGGGGATTGTGCGTCTTAGTACACGAAAGTTAATTTGCAGGTACAAGTGATTACGAAGACAAATGAAATGTTGTCATTTATTGCAGGTGGAATGAAATATGGAAAAAAGGACTTGTTGCTATAATGATATAGTGCTTTGGCAAGGCCACTTGTAACTGACTGTACAGTTTTGATGGTTGAAAAAGGATGTAAATGTTTTTAAGGCAGTTTGTAGAAGTTTCCCTCAACTGATGTGTGACGTAGATGATTATGTTGTAAGGAAAGGGTGACGTGTTCAGCTTGTATCCGTTGGAGTTCAGAAGAATGAGAGGTGACCATATTAAAACGCGATCCTGAGGGACTGGATCAGGTGGATAACCTGGGGATATTTCCTCTTGGGCAGGGAGAGACTTGAACCAGGTTTTAGTGTGGAATACTCTTTTCCTATAAGGTAGTGCATGCTGGATTTTTAAATTTATTCAAGGCTGGGTTAGATTTTTGATGACGAGGAAGTCAAGATTGAGGTGTAGATGGGAAGGTGGAGCTGAGACCACAAGCAGATCAGATCTTTTTGAATGTGGAGCAGAATTGAATACTCAAATCTATTCCTGCTGCTGAGTTCTGAGGTGAGAGTACTTTTGACTGACCCATGCATTTGAGCTGAGTATCCATTGATACTGTATTTGATCTTTTCATAGTTTACTACGTGAAGAAACTGAAATTGAATGTAATTTTACTTTGGTTTTGAACTTTTACAGTCGGCTGTGGATTTGAAAACTGTGGAATGCATTCTAACACTAAGGTTATGAATAGAACCACTCAATGGGCTAATGCATTTTGTCTGTTATGTGAAAGAACCAACTTGAAAATGAAAAATCGACTGTTATCTTGGTGGCTTATTTATCTTGCAATTTAAACTGGGCTGAAATATTGGGATAACCAGGTGTAGAACTGGATGAACACAGCAGGCCAAGCAGCATCAGAGGAGCAGGAAGGCTGACGTTTCGGGCCTAGACCCTTCTTCAGAAAATTTCTGCTCCTCTGATGCTGCTTGGCCTGCTGTGTTCATCTAGCTCTGCACCTTGTTATCTCAGATTCTCCAGCATCTGCAATTCCTACTATCTCTGAGCTGAAATATTGTTGGATTTGCAGAATTTTATACCTTTGTAGTATATTGCAACATTGCTGTTATTCCTTTCAGACACCCATACATTTGTAGAAAAGCTTTTTGAAGCTATAACTGCAAAGAGTTACCTACCTCAGTCTGAGCAATTGGCATCCGTGAATGTAAAATCTGAGCCTGCACAACGGCAAGAAAGAGAGGATAGAAAAGAAGAGGTATGTTTAACAGGATTTTGAATCTTTGTTAAAATTTGTTAAATGTTCTAGCCACATAAATACAAATATTTCCTGTTGCTCAGCTTCAATGTTGGTTCATTTAAATAGGGAAGCAAAGATGAAGATGATCGGGAAAAAAAATTTACAAGGAGGCTGAATCACAGCCCACTGCAGTCAGGATCACGACACAGAGATAACCGGTAATTGCTGTTTTCAAGTTTGTAATTTTTTAAGAAGTTCTCTAAGCTGTCAGCAGTTTTTTTGCAGTGTTGTCCTTGAAGACTACTTTTGTCACCGTTTTGACTCAAAAGATTTATCCATTCAAATTTGCCACCCTCCTAAGATGCTGTTCTGATCAGGTTTTTTTAAGTGACAGCGTTTATATATTTACATTTTTTTCTCAATCATTTTCCACATACTTGGAGGGGCTTGTCCTTTTTAAATATTTTAAACTTTTCACTATATGGTTACTCCCATTTGACCTGTATATCTAAGAGATCACTGCAAAATGTGTTATTCCATTTCAAATTAATCACTTATGTGTTTGACATCAATTGTTTGATATGGATGAAGTTCAGAAATTTGTTTGAGAAATAGCAAATGTATGAATGATTGCTTTCTTGAACAATTCAATGACATCTGTCCAACTTGAAACATAGAAACATGCCAAGAAATTCAGGCAGAGGAAAATTTTTGTATACCTTCAATTGTGATGAGGTCTTCTTAAAAACCCCAACACTTTATAGCAAATGTGTTTGTGTGAAGATGATTTATTTGCTGTACACATGAGCTGGTACAATGGATTATGTAGAGCATGTGCAAGAATATAGAAGTTTTCCCTTGTTTTGCTAAGTGACTAATCTTACCGATTGAAAGAAAATATTTTTAAATTCCCTTTTGCATTCAATGTACATTTTGGAAAAAAAAAGCCTTTTAGATGAGAATATATTATTTAATATTCAAAAGTCAGTTGGAAAATCAATTCAAGACTTCAGTGCTTTCTCCAGAGTAGTGGCATCCACCTTGTAGTTAAAAGTTTCATGCACAAGCATCTGAGACCGCTCTCGGGATACCAAGGAGTAGATTATCCATGACCTGTAATTTGAAGTTTGCAAATGTGGCCTGCTGTTGTGATATTTTCGAGCCAAGTGTAGGTCAGAGAACCTATCCCATTTAATTTTTGTGCTACTGATAATTCACGATCTTGTCCAAGTACGTAGAAATATAAGAAAATGAAAGAATTTGGGCAGCACAGTAGCTCAGTGGTTAGCACTGCTGCCTCCCCAGCGCCAGGGACCCGGGTTCAATTCCACCCTCGGGTGACTGCGTGGAACTTGGACACTCTCCCCATGTCTGCTTGGGTTTCCTCCCACGGTCCAAAAATGTGTAGCATAGGTGGATTGGCCGTGGTAAATTGCCCATAGTGTCCAGGGATGTTTAGGTTAGATGGGTTAGATATGGGAAAGCAGGGGTAGGTGAATGGGTCTGGGTGGGATGGTCTTCGGAGGGGTAGTGTGGACTTATTGGGCCGAATGGTCTGTTTCCACACTGTAGGGATTCTATGAAATAGGAGCAGGAGTAGGCTGTGCAGTCTTTGGATTCCACTTTGCCTTTCAGGGCTACTACATTCTGATTTACAACACCCCCATGTTCCTGCAGTATCCCTATGTATCTTGTTGTTTTTAATATGTAGAAATGTGCCAGTCTCTTTGTACTCAACAACTGAGCCTCAACAGCCCTCTGAATTATAAAATCATTGAATCTCTACTGTGTGGAAAGAGGCTGTATGGAACATCGAGTCTACATCCCATGTAGACCCAGTCCCCCAACTCTATCCCTATGATGCTGCTTGGCCTGCTGTGTTCATCCAGCCCTGCACCTTGTTGTCTCTATCCCTGTAATACTGCATTTCCCATGGCCAATCCACCTAATTTGCATGCCTTTGAACCAGAGGAGGAAACTTTTGCAGACCTGGGAGAATGTGCAAACTCCACATAGGCAATCAACCAAGGCTGGAATCAAACCTGGGTCCTTGCTGTTGAGACAGCAGTGCTAAGGGGTTTCCAAGGATTCACCAATCTCTGAAGAAATTTCTTCTTTCTGCTAAATGGCCCGCTCCTTTTCCTGAGACTCTGCCCCTGGTCGAGACAACCCCTTGGGGAAACATTCTTCCTGTAGTTACCTTGTTGATCGCCATAAGCATTTTATATGTTTGCTAGAGATCCCCTCTCGTCCAGTCTGTTTAATCTTTCCTCATAAGACAATCTCAATTTTATGAAAGAGTTTGGTGAAAATTTATAGCAATCCTCATTGCAAGCATGTTTTCCTAGAAGTGGAGACCTGAATTGTGCAGAGTACTCCAGGTGTGATCCACTTTGACTCTGTGTAATTGCACTAAGATTGCTTTACTTCTTTACTCATATCCTGTTATCATTGCTTTCTGTGCTTGCAGTGATTTAAACAAGAGCATCCAAGTCCCTCTGAAGTTTAACACGTCTTAGTCTCTTTACATTTATGAAACACTTTGTAATTCTGTTTTTCCAAGCAAACAGGATAAAAACACATTTCTGGCTGTTGTTTTCCATTTGCCAACTTTTTGTCCACTCACGTAGCCTCACCGAATTCCCTTGAAGCGTCATCGCAGCTACCCCTCCGCTCTCTTTCTAACTAGCTTTTTATATTCTGCAGACTTGGAAATATAACATTCCACATAATTCATGTATGTGGTTCTTCATTTTATTTATCTCTCCTTATTTCAAACTGAGCTAATATTTGCTACCATTTGATCTACAGGTCCCATTCTACTATATTTTTGAAAGTACATGAACTGGTCATCATCTATCTCTGCAGTTCCTTTGTTCTACACGCTGGGATGTAAATCATCATGTCTAGAAGATTGATCTACTAATTCTCATTACTTTGGAGCTTTTTTTTAAAAAAGGAACTAATTGCTACTCTGCAATTAATTGCCTCTTAATTCTCATTGCATCTGAGATGTTTATAGTATTTTTGTCTGTAAAGATACAGCAAAGTATTTGTTCACTTTCTCTGCCATTTCCTTATTCCCCAAAATGAATTCTCTTATGTTCACAATGTACCCAGTTTTGGTTTTTGCCAATTATTTTTGTTTAACGTTTGCATGGAAGTCGTACTTCATTAACCACAAGTGCGATAATAACCCTTCGTTCAAAGGATAACTTGTTCCTTTGTGTGTACCCAACACCCATGTATGCCATTCCAGAGCTATGTGCTTATAGTGGCAGGGACTTTGGAAAGGTTGGGGCTGAGTTCATTTTCAATTATTTGAAATCGAGGGCAATATTATTTTTTACTTGCTAATTTATCAATCTGCTTTCTTCACCCTCTTCTGTAATGTACTGATTTGTAGTTATGATTTCACTGGACCCAACTGTGTTGCAAACTCCTTGTTTGCAGACAGGATGTCTGTTGAAATGGTTTCTTTTTACACAAATTAAATGCTTCAAATCATATGAAGCTTTTAAAATATCTGGAACTACTCTTTAACTATAAAAAAGGCTCTTGCTCAAGCCCAGGAATACAAACAGAAAATATTGGAAATACACAGCACTGTGTCTCAACTACAGATGAGTGTACCTCTTGCTATTGTTAATGTATAAATAGAAGTGTCAAACCTTACCTAAGCCAAAAATCCAAGACTGATGGCATCCATGGTATTATCCAAAGAAGTGAATCCTAAGTTGGGACACGCATCCCTGTCTTATTCTCCCAATGTTATTCCCTTTATCTCACCCATCCCTCCAAAAGCCTAATTACATTTAGTCCAGTAATAATGTGGCTGTTGCTACCTTGGCTGAACTTGGAGGCATTCTGCTGCCTGTGAGTCAGCACACATTACACATTTACCTTAGAACTGAATTAATGAATCTGAGGGAAATTTAATATGTTACCATTCTATCAAATCTTGGATGCTAAAAAAATCTGGGATGATTAACTGTGAGAATACTTTGTTTTATTGATTAGGTGTGTCATATACTAAATGAACCTTGAAATAGCCTATTGGAGCGTTGTTCTGAAACCTATATGGAGTTTCTATTCAGCCAGAAGAATGTTAGTCTAGCTGGATTAGAAAAGTGCATAATCGGCTAGATTCGAATAGTTGCCTAATGAGTGCATAGCTTTCAGTTTAGGTCAGGGGAGCAGTCAGATTATTATTCAGTAATGTTACAGTTTCTGTTAACTTTTAGAAACCGCGATGACAGAAAAAACGATCGTTCTCGTAAAAGGGAGTACGACCGATATCCATCAAGGAGAGATTCATACAGGGACAGATACAACAGAAGAAGAGGAAGAAGCCGAAGCTACAGTAGAAGTCGGAGTCGCAGTTGGAGTAAGGAAAGAAACAGGGACAGGAGCAGAAGCAGGAGTAGAAGCAGAGGTAGTTATATTCAGATGTAAATAAGTCTTGAGCTTTGTATTTAAAAATAACCCTGGGTCAGTATTTTATGCTAACTTGTGGTCCTGAATGATATGATTGATTAAGTCTGTGAACACTTAAAGGAATACTGTAGGGTAGTCCTTGGCTTTTGAGTATTCAATTGAAATGAAAACTAAATCTGATGGGACTTGGTGTATTGAGTAGGCATACTGTGCTTTTAATTGGATAAGTATATTCTCTTTGGCTACATACGGTTTCTTTTTAAAGAAAGTGAGCATCCTCAATGGCCTTTTTATAATGTGAGTTTGAGCAGCAAGTAGTTGTTTTCCATGTATATGTATACAAAACATTTACTTTTATTGAAACCTGCCCATAATTTTTAGCTATCTTATTGTGAAATTGTTTGCTTTCTCAGTTTGAAGCTTTTATTCAATAGCTTGGCAGCATTGTGCATTTGTAGAAGGGTAGAATGTAAGTTTGTTCTTTATAACCCCTGATACAGTGTGATCCAGGTCAGTTGATGAGATGCTTGTAGAGTAGAAGAATAAGCAAGCATGTTTTCAGCGAGGTGACTGCAGGCAGGTATTGCTGATAACCTAAAATGTTGAGAATCTTCATTTTAGACTAGTATAATGTGCTATTAATTTTTTTAAAAATTCAAATTCATTTAACTACTTGCTGTGGCAAGACTTAAAATTTTAACTTAAAAAGTATTGTACAAAAGACCATGTGGTTTTCAAAAACATAATCACTTCTTCATGATATTTTGATGAATGGTGCAAAATTACGCCACAAGCTGCAGAAATATTTTAAAGTGACTGTGTGTCTTTTTCTCAATGTAAATATGCTTTTAGTGCAGGAGGGACTTGTGATGCAACATAAACTTGCACTTGTTCAAAAATCTGTTGCAAATAACCAAACTGAAATCAAATTCAAATCACACTTGTGTTCACTGACCTCCACTGGCTTCAGTTTTCCAGGTTTCATCCTTCTATTCCGATCCCTCCATTACCTTGCCCTTTGTTATTCCTAATTTTCTCCTGCCCAGCCATCCTCCAAGATCTCTGCAATTCACTAATTCTTGTGTACCCTAAATTGTTATTGCTGCATCATTGGTGACTGTGCCTTTCAGCTGCCTAGGTCTTAAGTTCTTCTATTTCCTCCCTAAAACTCTTTAAAGTGAGCATCTTGCCCAAGCATTTAGTCATGTGTTATTATGGTTTATTGTCATACTTTGGATAGTAATTCTCCCTTGAAGTATCTTGCAAACTTTTTTCTGCTATATTGACCGTGCAGTTTTAAATGCAAAGGGTCTTACACCGTGTTATGTACACGGTGTAGATTTGCTGATGTCCCACTGAATCTTCCATGGTGCAGTCATACCACATGCGTAAAATTCCTGGTGCATTTCTTGCTAGCTTAACACATGCTCTTCTGCTATCAAAATTATTTTGTTATACGTGAATTGAAAATTAGTTAAATGAAAAAGATGGACTTCTGAGTTCACTAGTTGAATCATGAACTAAAGTTTTCCATTGTGACACTTAATTGAAGTGAGTGCCTGATCTGGCATAAATCTTAAGATGAAAGGGATGTCGTTCCATGTAGATTCAAAGAATGATGGAGCTCAGATGGAGACCATTTAGTCATTATGCTTCTGTTGATTGTCTAAAAGATCTGTTCAGAGTCTTAACTGAACAATTAAAAAGAGATGCATGATAAAGCAGAGGTGGAGACATTTAACAGCTGAGAGAAACAAATTTTGAGAATTGATTTCTGTGAATTCAAATGCTGAGGAAGCCAGTTAAAAAAATTGTTTGTCATACACAACAGTATTCAATCGATGTTAGATGCAAAAATTTCTCAGTTCACATTTTATCTTGCTTTTTGTTCTCTACTTTGTTTATCAGCCCACGTTATTTTGGCTGACTGGCATTCAGTAGTTAATGTTCAGCAATTAGTTCTATAGATGGATTGCTGAAAAGAGAGGCATATTACTGAAGCCTTGCATCTTACACTCATCAGAACAAATGTAGGAATGCCGGTTTCGGAAGAAGACAACAATTTATGCCAGAGGAAAAAGGGTTCTGATTGGTTGGCAAGTGAGCTGCATTCACTTGTTGGGATCCAATCTCTGCAAAGAAAAGACATATGTTGAAGCCTTGCATGTTTTTTGAATGACCATGAAGTGTCAAGGGTGGATATTTCATACATGTTCTCCATGGCAACAACTTAACCACGAGAGTTAACTTGCCAATCAACTCCTTTTGTTTTGTGATGGTTTAAAATTTGAATCCCTGCATTTGTCCTGTTCAGTGCAAGATGAAGAGCTTTGGCAAAATGTCTCTTTTAAGTGATATTCAAATTCCTGCTGCCAAGTGACTTGGTGCAACCAACTCTGTTCATATTAGAACATATTTATTATTGTGTAATGAGATTAATTTAGTATTTTTGGTGCGAATGGCACTTCCGGAATGTTCATTGAAACTGTCAACTCAATGAAAAATGCTTACTGCTGTATATACTGTTGCATAGTTACGTAGTTTTATTTTTGATAAATATAAGTGCAACAATATTGTAAAGTTAAAATCTAATGTAGAAAGTCTCAAATATAGACATTTCTATTACTTTGGCTTGTAGTAGTTTGTAAAAATTAATGTTCTAACTCCTTCACAATAATATTGATTCCTTTGTTCTTTCAGAGAGGGATTCGGGGAAGTCCAAGTATGACCTTGACAGGACAGAATCGTCAGAAAGTGGCTACACTCCCAATACTGTGGCAAACTTGACATCTGGCCATTATCCTGTTCCCACTCTGAGTAGTGCAATCACAGTCATCGCACCAGCTCACCATGGCAACACTACTACAGAGAGTTGGTCAGAGTACCATGAGGACCAGATTGATCATAGCTCATATGGAAGGGGGCCACTTCCAAAGAAGCGCTGTCGAGACTATGATGGTAATGCAGAATTGTTGCAGTGTTAAAAAGATTGTCACCCACTTAAATGCCAAATTTAAATACTGTAACAATGCTGTAAACTCAATTTGATGTCCTGAGATTAAAACAAGAATAAGTTTATGGAGGAAATGTAAATTAAAGCAGTGTGGAAATACAATATATACAAGTTAATGGCATTATTCAGTGAAATGCTGCACTTGACAGCCATCAATTCATTCCCTCCATTTTGTTGTGTTTGCTTAGCAGGAATGGCTGGATAAAGGAAATGTTTCACTCTCAACGAGGTGGGGGGGGTGGCGGTGGTGGTGGTGGTGTCCCATTAAGAGACTGTTACTGTATTGTATTGTTAAATATGTATTCCAGATTGGCATAAAAATTTGTTTCGATGTGTTGCAAATCATGTTGATTCTATGTGCTTTATGCCGCCTTACTTTGTGTTTTTCAGAAAAGGGCTTCTGTATGAGAGGTGACATGTGTCCGTTTGACCACGGAAGTGATCCAGTAGTGGTAGAGGATGTGAATCTTCCAGGCATGCTGCCTTTCCCCTCACAGTCTTCAGTAGTTGAGGGACCAAATCCTGCCCCCCTGCCTCCACCACCACCCATTCTGGCTCCTCCACCTGTTAATCTGAGGCCTCCAGTCCCTCCACCTGGACCATTACCCCCCAATCTGCCTCCTGTTGCAGGTAAAGTATGAGCTTTCCATTCATGCTTGAGTTTCAAAAAATGTTAAAATAAGTACAGAGCACTTAATCAGCATATATTGTAGGTTATTAAGCTCTTGTCCAACACGTATTAGAGATGAAACAAAAATAGAAGTTGCTGGAATAGCTTGGCAGGTCTAGCAGCATCTGTGAAGAGAAATCAGAGTTAACGTTTCGGGTCCGGTAACCCTTCCTCAGAACTGACGAGAGCTAGGAAAATGTCTGTTACTTGCAGAAGATGGGGTGGGGAGGTGGAGGTCTGGAGTTCTGGAATAAACGATCGGTGGGGATAGAGCCCAAAAGAAAGAGAAGAACAGTTGGACACACAAAGGAGTGGATAATGATCTGATTAGGAAGGTGAATAGCTGTTAATGGAGACTGTTGGTGGCTAACGGTAGGTAGTGTATAATGGCAGGCTGTGATAACAAGGCCTGGTGTATGGGGTTGGGGACAAGGACATGGGAGAGTTCAGGCCCTAAAATTATTGAACTTGGTATTGAGTCTGGAGGGCTGCAGGGTCCCCACGCGGAAAATGAAATATTGTTCTCATTTTGCTTCTAATATACAACATGCACAATTCTTTTGGTTTTTATTATGTATTAAAGATGATCTTGTCTGCAAGAATAATCGTACTGGCATATTTCAGTGAGTTCCCACCTTTTTTAAAATCATTGAATGGACTTCAGAAGGTTACACTTTCACAATTTTTGAACTATTTCCTTTCTAAGTTCAAAGTTACTTCAGTGTCTTTATCCTAACTGTGCCAAGTTGCTTGCAGATATTTTAAACTATGACATTAGAATTTCTTTTGATGGACAATAATTAGGTTGGCTGATCTCTGCTGATGTAGTTGCCCTAAAAGCAACCTCAGAATCCTTGAGGGTAGGAGCAGAAAAATGAATTGACAGTTCAGGTTCATTTGCTGTACCATAATTAATTTGCTAACTGTATGCGTAAATGGCAGTTGAGACAAGATCAGGCACAATTTTTTTCAAGCACTTTTCACTTTACTAACCCATTGACTATTTTGTCGAGGCTTCCACACACGAATGGCCACTTGGACATTGTAGAAGGAGGTGACAAAAGCCTTCAGCAACATTCTTTAAAAGAACTGATACTTTTTGGCTGTGGTGTGAGATTGTTAGACAGACAGAATACAAAAATAGTTGAATTCTTTCACAATTTGAAATGTCAATGAAATGGATAAGACTAGGATTGTTGTCTAGTAGAGAAAACAAGTGCGCATCCCACTGAAATCGTGGTCGTTTCATGTCTTTAAGAAAAGTAACCCTCAGTTGTCTCTGTGCTACATAAGGCATGACTAGGTTCTCTATAAAGACATCACTCCTTTGGATGATCTGTGACTTCAATTTATTTTCCTCTGTCAAAAAAGGACCCACATAGGCCAAGAGGTATTTTTAATTTGGTCTCGAAGATACTGAATTTCAACCAAAACCTGTTGTGTAAAATGTGCTATGTGTGTAACTGCTTAACAGAAATATTACTGCTTCAGTATTTCAGCCTTGACTCAGTGGTATCACTCTTGTGGCTGAGTCTTAATTTCGTGAGTTCAAGTCCCACTCCTGAACAAGTGCATTATCTTAACTAAAACACTACGAGGGAATGCTAGCCTGTTGGTGCCCCTACCCTTCAAGTGAGATGTTAAACTCAAGCTCTTTTTTTTGCCTGCCTAAGTGTGGGTAAAAGATTTGTGAATTTTTCTGCTATCAAGTGGTTATCAATTACTTTTCAATAAATATCACCAAAAACAAATTATCTGATTACTTAGTCCTTCAAATAGCAATGAGATTATACTGTATGGGGAGGCGATGGCCTGGTGATATTATCACTGGACTGTTAATCCAGAGACCCAGATAATGTTCTGGAGACCCAGGTTCGAATCCTGCCACGGCAGATGGAATTTGAATTCAATAAACATCTGGAATTAAGAATCTAATGATGACCATGAATCCATGGTCCTTTAGGGAAGGAAACTGCCATCCTTACCTGGTCTGGCCTACATGTGACTGAACTGCCCTCTGGGTAATTAGGGATAGGTAATAAATGTTGCCTAGCCAGCAACACCCTCATCCCATCAATGAATAAAGGTATGAAATTTGGTTGCTCTGTTTGCCTTCAACATTGATCTCATCACTGGCTATGTAGTGCTTGAGGAACAACGTGAGCTTGTAAGGGTGCTATATAAATAACAGGTTTGCTTTTTCCTTTGAAACTTGATGGGAATTATGTTTGATCTCAGTGTTTTGTTGCAATATTTTATTTCTAAAAACTGCTGGTTTGCAGACTTGAAGAACAGTTGGCATTTTAAATTTGTCATTTTGCTTTTAGTAGGTCCCCCACCACCTTTACCACCACTTCAACCTCCTGGATTGGATGCACCCCCAAGCTCAATTACTAGTTCAGTGCCTCCTGTTGTCACATCTGTAATTCATCACCAGCCTCCTGCACCACAGCCTCCTCCATATACAGCAGGTAGAATAATTATCTGTCAAAGGCTTTTTTTAAGGCCAATGTTAATAAGACATTCTATTTCTTTGTTTTATATTTCAAATGATGCATTTGAGGTTGCTGAGCTGAATTAAAGTTTGAGGAAGCTTGTTTCAGTTGTCATTGAGACCAGGGGAATGTTTTATGATGTAATGTATATACATGGACTAAAGAAGTAAGAAATTCCTTCATGTCCTAGTCATGGAGATAGCCAAAGGGATGGAAATCTGAACATAGGAGAGCTGAATCAATACCTGTTGCCCACTGATCAGAACTGGACCTTACAAAATGCACCAGAAATTTGTGGTCACAGAGATACGACAGCATATACGTTTGTAGTGGGTCATGTGCAATTATAGTTGAGTAGAATGTGGAATTCTTATCAGATAGCTAGATGCTGTCCAAATAGAAAGGTAGTCAAGCTTGGGAGAATGAGATCAATGTTTGTTACCATCCATATCCAATAGATGATATATAGAAAAGGGGATGGTTGAATATACTTGGTAAATTGATTACTCCTTTGGCATAGGATACAATATTTATTCAGTCTATGCAAGATACAAGGGAATTAGAGGGATTATTACAGTTAAGCTTTTATTAGAATTCATTCTGCAAGATTGAACATTTTGCTTCTTCTTAGACTGATCACTGTTATAAAAGTGACCACAGCCTGCCAGATGACTTGTCTGTTTTCTTGTATTTGGGAATTTGCAGTATCTCAATGCTGTAATGATGACTAGGGGATTAATATTTTGTGATATTTCTTTGAATTGATCTGTGCTATGCATAGATATCATTGTTAAAATTTAGTCGATTGCATGCTGAGTGTAAGCTTGGATTTTCAAGGCATATAAGAGTTGAAATAAGAGGTAACTGAGGGAGGCCAGTAATGCTAGAATTTTGTAACATAAGATTCTGAGAGCACAACAAAATTGTTTAATGCCAAAAGTTAGAAAGGAAGAATGATTTGAGAATATTTAAGTTTGCAAGTAATCAGCATATCACTGCATGCAATTTGACTTGGTGGGAGGGTGGGAGGTGCTGTTCAAAAAAATATGCTGACTATTGATTTATTGTAAGCTTTAATTGGTACTTCGTGCAGAAAAGCAATGGCAAATGCTCTCCCTGCCCACAGGTTGCCAAAAGACTGTGGCTGTTGCTTAGCTTGTTTAGTTGTACCAGTGGAAGAATTTTTATTTTTCTCTCCTAAAAATACACTTCTTAATAAAAACTTGAACCCCAACTCTAAATTATTTTCATATTTTACACCTACCTTATTAAAGTGTGTACTCATTACACAAACATATGCATGCATACTCTGTTAATACCAAGGATTTGCTTTGTGTCATCACATGAGGTTAGAAGAAAATAGAGTCATTAATCTGAATCTCATTCAGATTTATGCTGATGGAGAGACCTACACCTGATTTAAATTTGGGTTTTCCTTGAAGATGTGCCAATTCATTGTCAAGTATCAGCTAACAACAATCAGGAGAATTTATAAGTGAGATTAGTTTTATGTCTGAAGTGGTCTTGCTGATTGTAACAGATTACCTTTCCCTTCTAAGCATCCCATTCTAGTTTCTAGCTTGGTGTCTGGCCTCTTATCCCTGCTTTTGTAATTTCTGAACATTATTTCACCAGAGCTGTCTTTTCTAATGTATCCTTTCCAGACTCTCTTTCTGTATATTCAATCCTCAGCATTTGCGGCAGCAATTTACCTGCCCCAGCCCAGCTCTGTGGAACTTTTCCCTATCCACTTATCATTCCTTCCCACTTGTGCATATGTACTTTTTAATTACCTCTCCCAATGTAAACACACCTCAGCATCCATTTCTTGCCTTACTTTATACCCCCATCTTCGTAATGACTTGTGTGTTCCTTACATTAAACACGTTACATAATTGCGGGTTTGGTTACAGCTGAATATCTCTACAGAGTAATGAGGCTTGGTCACTCTTATTTGTTTTTGACTGTAGAAACCTATGAAACTGATGGATATAATCCTGAAGCACCAAGTATAACCAGTACTTCAAGACCTGTTTACAGACACAGGGTACACAGCCAAAGACCTAATTTAATTGGACTTACATCTGGAGATATGGATCTGCCACCACGAGGTACTGTAGGAATTAGATCTAAAAATCTGCTCTCCTTAGGCACAATCATAAAAATCATATCCCCTACAAAACTGGTACTTCAGTTCATGTAACAATGCATTTTAGTTGTTTGTGCTTGAGGGTAGTGACAACCTGGCTGCGTGATTTCATGTACTACCTGTGTTGCCTAAGGTTCTATCGTGTGGTTTTATCAACATCAAATCACACTTTGTTGTCTTACCTCTATTTCTTTAGTAACTTCTCCTCCTCATGTATCTTGTCTTGTTCCATGCAGTAGCTTGACTCTTGACTAAAGTTATTGTTCTATACTAAACACCCTTACCCCGAGCCTGAGTTTCTCACTGTATTAGCCTGCCTCCTCTCTGCTTTCTTGTCTCAGTCTCTACATAAAGGAAATCATTTTCTTTTTGTGATGCCAGCCATCGCATCAGTGTGCTGACTGAAGTTTCCTGCTCTTTCGTCTTCCCTTCATTTCTCTCTCCACATTGAACATTGACTCTCCCACCACTCATCATTGCCATCTTTTTGGCTCCTAGTCCTTGTCTTCACTATTGTCTCTAATCACTTGTGTTGTTTTGAGAGCAGCATGTTTAGTCCCACTGCCCCTCCTTCATACCCACAGACAAATGTCATTTTCAGCTAATTTCTTTTTCAAGTCACAGTTGAATTTGCTCCACTGTGCTTGGCGTGTTCCCATTCTAACTGCTAGTTGAGTAAAGATTTTCCCTGGATTACCTCTGCTGCTGTTGTTGTTCACTTCAAATAGGTGTCCTCTGATGTTAACACTTCTACTAATGGGAACAGTTTATCCTATTTACTCTATCTGGATCCCTCATGATTTGGAACATATTGACCAAGTCTTCTCAAGCTCCTCTTTTTCCGAAGAGGGTGCTGTCCCAGCTTCCACAATTTATCTTCAGAATTGAAATTTCTCACGTCTGAGACATTCTCTGAAATCCTTTCCTCATTTTATCCAATTCTTTTACAATTTTTCTGCAGCATTGTGTTCAGAATTTATTCAATACTCTGTTTGAGGGCTAACCAATGTTGTCGTTGAGGTTCACTAAGTTGCTTGCTTTTGTACTCAATGCCATCAAGACCCTCTGTTTAGTAACCTCTACATCATGTCCCCTTCCACTTGCCCAGGTGCGCTAACCATGAGCATCCTTCTTACCTATCTCCTATATGCCATCTGAGCTGAGCTCGTCCATGAGACCTACTTCTGTTTGCATGACTCCTTTCCCACTAAACTGATTAATTGTAAATGTTTCTCACATTGATCTTAAAACACCTTTTGAGCCCTCTGTCCTTGCAAACTACCTCCTCGTTTCTGCCTTCCACTTTCTCTAATTTATTGCTGCATCGTCCAACAGAATGAGACTTTGTTGGGACTCCGCTTACATTAAATGACTTGCAGTTTAAATATATTTGGCAAAGGTTTCTTTTTTTTTTTCCTGCCCTGTCTGGAGACAAATGTTTATCCTTGGTCCCTTTCCTATTTGTCAATGATCTGCTGTTTCTTAAGGACTTAAAAAGACATAAGATGAGATTATATGTATATATTGGTAACCTACAGCTCTAAATCTCCACCAGCTCTGGCCCCTCCATTGTTGATGTGTTTTTATCCTATTTGCCCAACTTAGTGCTGTGTAATAAGCAGCATTTGTCTTTGTTCCTTTACCTAATTCAATACAATCTCTGGTCAAAGCTCGACCCTAATATTGGCATTCTAGTTGACCACTTGTTGAGCTTTGTGCTGCACATCCTTCCAATTATAAGGTAGTTTATATTGGTACAGATGGTCTCCAATTTACAAATGTCTGAGCTGTGAATGCTCATACTTATGAACAGGATCTATACAGGCTGTATTATTATTCACTTTAAAGATCCAACATGTGAATGTTTCCTTACACATACAAACAGCTATTTTATATTTCCGACCTTCTCTTCCAAATCGCGTGAAAATCGATTTGTGAGCCTATTCAAGAGTGGAACCTGTTCGCAACCTGGGGACTAACTTAACATTCTTAACATCTGCCTGTTTCCTAATGTGTGGCAAATTCTTCTTGCCCATATTATGATACTAGCTGGTGGTACAAATTGACGCTTCTAATTCCAGAATGAAAAGTGATTTGATAGATCATATGTTTTTCTTAATTAAAGTTGTGGCTCCTTACAAGGCTAGAGATTTCCTTTAACAACAGGAGTTTAGGATACAAAAAAAATCAGATCAAACAATCTAAATATAGTGGATAGTTAGCAATCAAAACTTGCATGCAATCAAAGTTCAACCTGTTTCCTCACACTTATACAGGCATAATTCCAGAGAAATTACACACCTGTCTCAACTTTTCTTAATGTATTACTTAACTGATTGGTGACAGTTTCTTGCCTTGGATTGTGGAGACAATTCCAATAATTTCTTTCTAAGTAAGCCGACATGAACTTTTCGACACATCTAAGAGTTTGATCTTTGTCAGTTCTAAGAATTGTAAATTTCTTACCAAACTCTGCTGGTTTGGAAGTTTCTCAAACTAAACCTTTTTGCTGCGATAACTCGGGTCCCCTAAACTGCCCAAAGAAGTGCTCTTTGAAGAGAAACTAAATTTGGGTCTTCACTCCACTCTGCTTTCTGAATTGAATTAAAACTGAAGACGATCCTCGATTCTTCTGAGTTGAAAAAATAACGGCCTTGCATGTTTACCCTACCTCTTTAAACCCAGAAATATAAACATATTTCCATGAACACCCCAGGGATCTGGAGTTATCTGCTTTCTGATGAAGTGCTGGATATACTCATTAGTATATGAATGCTGGAATGACTCGACCTGTTTGTAAAGAAAACGCTTCAAAGAAGCAAATAGCACTCACCTGCCTCTGTTTTGAAATTTACATTCCAAAAGTGGTATTTGTACATAAATGATGTACCTTTCGTCACACTCGTCACTTTATGTGAATGTAAATTGGCTCATGCTTCCCCAGTACCTTGTTTTAAGACTTTTTTGCATTCAGATCCTATCTTGGTAACTTCCTCCAGCTCGGTAGCTCTCGTGTGAACTCTGTATCAGTCCAATTCAAGCCAGTTCAGTTTTCCCAATTCTGCCTTTACCCCACCATTTCTGGCCAATGTCTCAGCTTTGGAATTTTATTTTTAAACTTCTCCATTCTACTATCTCCTTTTCTTCCTTTAAGTTGCTTAATAAAACCTACTCTCCTGATCCCTCCTCGCCTTTCCTTCAGTTCAATATCTCTTTGTATCTGATTACACTCTTTGAAGTGCTTTGAGTTTTTTTTTGTGTATTTAAAGATGACATAAACACAAGTTACCATCGTAAGTTACCATCGTTAATTACCACCTCCCATACATCTAAAACATTTCTATATCTTAATCATGAAAAAGACTTGATGGCATATTGCATAAGTTTTCAATGAAGTATGTTCTGGTCTTGAAACTTACTCCTATCTGTTCACATTCTAGCTGTAAATATTACTGTGAAAACCGAAAAACCTGTTAGCAACAACAACAACATGAGAATAGTGGTGGATTCTGAGTCCAGGAAACGTACAATTGGGGCTTCTGCTGAAGGAGTGCCTGCAAAGAAGTCCTGGTTTGACAAGTAAACTTTGGTTTTCAATTTTTTTCTTGCATATTGTTACCCTTTAGTAGTTTTCTTGGTATTACAAATGCACTTTGTAAACTTGCTGTCACTGACCTTTTCAATACGCTGGGGTAACAGAGTGTAAAATTTCCTTAGGGTTCACCTGGTGAAATAAGTGGTTGTGCATTAAGAGTTTGTCACTCTGGCATATCCATTTTAGTTTATATAATAAATTTTTTTGAGCCTCACTTTTTTCTTAGTTATTATCTTTAATTATTGAGAACAGTTCCACATTTTTAGGTGCAGCATTTTTTTTTTTTAAAGAAGGTGTAGAAGCCATTAACCTGTTCATAAATTTCAATTGTTTGACATAGTTTATTGTTAATTCTAATGTTTTGTTTTTTGAATAAACTTGGGCCTCACTATATTTTTCCATCAAGTACTTTAAGTTCAGTCATAGGTTTGAAATATATTTTCATTTAAAAAAAAAAAGAAAATTCAGTCACCTTTTCCTGATGGTCTAACCATTTCACGCAACAGCTGAGCCACATGGATCTACAACATCACATTTTGCCTGTGGTCTCTGATGAATTAGTTGATCTAATTCAATTACATTGTATGCTATATTTGTGCTATAGTTCTTCAAACATCCTGATATGTGGTGGGGGAGTATCAGCCAAAGTGATAGATATTGCCCACTGACCAATCCCTCCTGGAAATGAACAGATGGGGATTGAGCACCACAGCTTGTTTTCAAAGTCTAAAAGCAGTAACCTGAAGTAACTAGAGAATTTGCAGGCTAAAGTAAAACAGGAATGTTCCTTCCTTCTTTTCCACCATTTTTTTTAATATCGTTGAAAGAGTAATTTGCCCTATATTGAATGAAGATATGTGAAAGGAAGGGTGTAGTGAACTTACGTCCCTAGATTCCGTAAGGCACCAAAAGTTGTCTAAGTCTTAAATATAGTCAATGGTGGAACATCCTGCAATGCTCTGGGATAGAACATTCCAACGATTCATGACCCTTTTGAGCAAAAGGGTCACGTCCTGTCATATTGTTAGTAAAGTGTTGAGATATGGAGATAAATTAAGTTGGGTCATTGGTACCCACCGATTTTAAAATCTTCCTGTTTGCAGAAGAAAAGGGATTATGAGAGCGTGGTGTTTTCAGTTTTGAGGTTCTGCCAATATCTGTTTGGGACCTTGTGCAATTAGTCTTCATTTCTCCACCATGTTGACTTCAGTTTTAGACTAACAGGAAATCTCAGGAGCATAAATGCTGAATGTGCCAATGTGTTATTTGTTACATATTTAGGAGCGTTTCAGTAAAATTGCCTTAACGTGGGGCGGCATGGTGGCTCAGTGGTTAGCACTGCTGCCTTACAGTGCCAGGGACCCGGGTTCGATTCCAGCCTCGGGTGACTGTCTGCGTGGAGTTTGCACATTCTCCCCATGTCTGCATGGGTTTCGTCCGGGTTCTCTGGTTTCCTCCCACATACCAAATGTGCAGGTTAGGTGGATTGGCCATGCTAAATTGCCTGTAGTGTTCAGGGATGTGTAGATTAGGTGTGTTACAAGGGGACGGGTCTGGGTGAGATGCTGTGAGGTTTGGTGTGGACTTGTTGGGCCGAAGGGCCTGATTCCACACTGTAGGGACTCTATGACCTCTAACGTGCAATCACTCATTTATCATCAGGTTAATATGCCATGTTTCAAATAACGTGGCCCTTAGAAACACCAGACCGTGAATTTACATTGGGAGTAGTAATTGTCTCAAATCATTCGTGACGGAATATTGTGGTTGGTTTTATTTCTTGTTTCCATTTCTTTCCAAGGTAGAGAAATCTTGTGATGTGATTCTTGCTTTTGAAACGTTCATGACAATCTGTAAAGTACATCTACAAGTTAGAATTTTCAATCCATTTTGAGCCAAGACTGGTTCTCAAATTGAATGCTTTATTGAAGTGGATTCCTTAGTGTGTGTCAACAATGGAATCCATTTCTTGTAGCAATTTTTCAAAAACAGTTGTTTAAAATTTAATTCAGGCCACTGCTGCTATGTAAAATGAATGCTGTACAGATTGAGCTGTTTTGGTGAATCAGTTTTGAAATGGTAGTCCTGGTAACTCACTACTTGAAATGGGTTAGGAGATCTAAGCAAGCAAAATACCTAATTGCCAAAGACATTTGAGCCTTACGAAATATTAAAACACATCTTGATTGGGTCAAAATGTGCATTTTGCAGTTAATTTTTAATAACCATTTAGGTTAACATGATCTGTCTGTTTGTATCAACAGGTCAAATTTCAACAAGACCAACAGCCAAGGATTTCAAAAGAAACCACAATACGGGGTTGAAAACACCAAGCTTGAACTTCGGAGGGTTCCACAGGAATTAAATAACATCAGCAAACTTAATGAACACTTCAGCAAATTTGGAACAATTGTAAATCTGCAGGTGGGAATGCAAAAAAGTCTAAAGGGCTTCACTGCCTAGTCTAGTTTTGTTTTCTCCTTGTGTCTCTGTACACTTTGTATCACAGCCTTACAGCCTTCTTAGGATCAGGAATTCTAAATCCAGTGAATCATCAGTTGCTGATTTGCTTAGATTTCCTAACTCACCAAGTTCCTGCAGTGAACTTTGAGACCTTATTGACCTGTATGGGTTATTAATTTTCTCAGGGTTTGACGAAGTTCTTGAAATGATGCCAGTTTTAGGAAGTCATTCTGTGTTTTGCGCCTGTAGATGGTGCTGTGAGCATGTTTATTTATATGGCAACTGTGATTGCGTTCAATTGAGTATTGCATCGCATCATAAGGCCAATTCCAAACTGAGCATTTAATCGTTGTGTATCTCTTTCTTTATATAATTGTATTTGCAATTGCTGCTGCCTTTGAATCTGAAAATCTGTGCTTATCTATGAGAGACATTGGTACCCACACTTAAAATGAAATATTAACCATAACCTTTCTCCATTTTCTCTAACCAATTTTGAAACTTGGTTAGGCAATCTGTCCCACATTTCTAAGTCCACTGTTTTCCGGTGGCAGTCTCTCATAGTATTTTGCCAGGAGACATCCCTAAAATCTGTTTACAATATATCCACTGCAATGTTTCCATCATTCCTCAAAGAAACCTGCAATTTATTCTAACGCCGTTGCCAAATCTGAAATGCTGGCTATTTATTTTCTTTTAGTTTCCACACATAGGAATTTTGTGTTCAAGATCCTTAAATTCTTCCCTGCCATAAACAAGTAAGATAATTGGGCTGAAATTACATGGATTAGCTCTGTTCATAAAAGGGAGTAGTACATTAGTTCTACTAATTTTGTTGGAGTCACGTTGCTGCTGGCCATGAATTGTGCAATGCTATTGAAGAGTGATTGTATCCTAATCTATGAAAAAAAATGTTAACTGAGATTTTCTGGAAGCATTGTCGATTTTATGCTTTTTGGTATCAGTTCCTAATTTATTTTATGAATTGAGTGTTAAGTGATTTTGAACCATGTGACTTAAATGCACTTTGCATCGAGCAAGTCAAACGGGTTTGTATAATGAAGGTGTTTGAGACTATTTTGAGATAGGAATCCAAAGACTTTGCATGGCATTTCAAGTTTTATGAGTCTAATGTCTTGGTATAGCTATTCATTTACTCTTTGCCCATTTAGAATGAAGTTGACTTTTTTTGATTCACGCATGATTTATTATGATAAAGTTAGCAATTTTTAAAAAAGCTGTCTGTCACAAAATAAGTTTCAAAAACATCTTTATCGCTAACAAAAGTTGCATGCTGCTTATTGCAGCAAATTACACCGACCAGAATGCAGACGCTCAAGTGTTTTCTGGCATCATTAAGGTAAAAGCAGTCCCAAAGATGATTATTCAAAGTGGAAAATAGTCTGTTTGGGTTGTCAGATTGTGGTTTTGTTTGCATAGTTATTTTAATTCCATGTCTCAGAATACACGAAGAACCTTGAAGTTACTTTATGGTAAATGTGTTTTTTCCCTTTCTTGAATGTAGAAAATGAGGTGTGTCTGCTAAAGCTGTTTGTGATGAGAAGGCATTTTACACTGCCATATTTCTCATTGACGGAACTACTGTTGGTTAAGAATATAATATGTTGCATCATTATTTACATGGAAGTAACTTTTGAAGTTGCTTCTCTCCTCTCAAAACAAACAGTTGATTCAAAATAAGCTGTTTAGACCAAAACAGAGGCTGAGTGAAAAACTAGGCAATTTTTCAACAATCTTTTAAAGCAGTCCAAAGTATTATGCACAGTATTTCTCACGTATGTAACATTTGTGCATGCATGTGTATGTTAAATGAACTGTTCAGCTGAATGAGTAGTTTAATGCTACCAGCAGGTGCCTCTGTAACATTGTATTGTCCTTGTCACTAAAAATATTCTCCACCATGTGGCAACTTATAATATAGCATGCAGTATTCAGCAGATGTGGTTATAGATTGTTCTTGATAGCTAATGAGAGCTTAATATGTTTGAGGTTCATTTATTTGCTACTTGAATCATTAAAAATGATTTTTTTCTGTTAAACTGGTGAAAACCATTTATTGAAGTGCCAGAAGGAGGAACATCACAATAACCATTTCAACAGGAGTTGAGCACTCGTTTTTAGAGTCATTTTAGTGATAGTCAGTGACCTTTGTATCCAGGTTACGACAGTTGGAACAGTGCAATTATATCCAGCTTAAAAAGAGAACATTTGCACTATTGCATCACACAAAATAATGAAGATTGTTGGCTTGTAGGGATATTATAGTAGAATCTCATAAACATCAAGAAGATGAATTACCAGTCAATCAGGTTTTGGTGGCATTGATTGTAAGACAGTTAGCCAAGACTAGCCAGCTCCCTGTGACCTTTAATATACCTGTTTGAATTAGCAAAGATGGCTGTGGCTTACAATTTCAGTTCCATTTTTCAAGCCTTCAAATATTTTATTTTGTTACCCTCCAATCTCTTTTGGGCTCATTTTGAAGTTGGAAGGCATAGCAGTGTGGACAGTCCATGCCTACTAATTGTGACAAAATCATGAATCAATGTAAACAGGAGCGGTGGAAAAGGAGAAGGGACTTGTCCCTTAAGAGGGCAGCATCCACATCTAGCATTCTTACCAGAAATGGGAAAGAAATCACTGTTGACTGATGCACCCTAGGTAGTCAAGTTAAGTACTTGAATGCTGAGATTATCCAAGGTTTTGCTGATTTTGAATGCTGGAAAAACTGACTTCTGATCACTGTAGTGTGATTTGTAAGGAAGCAAATTAATTGTAAATATATTGATTTTTGTGAAGGTTGCGTATCAAGGTGATCTAGAGGGTGCCCTTATTCAGTTTGCTGTTCACGAAGAAGCAAAGAGGGCAATCTCAAGTACAGAAGCAGTTCTTAATAATCGATTCATCAAAGTATACTGGCATCGAGAATGCAATTCTCAGCAAAAGACAGCTGCAAATCAAAAGGTACAAATTATGTTTTTCTCCTATTTAGTTTCGTTGTCGCAAGCAAAGCAATACAGTTTTTAAGATTTAATATTAGAATATTAATGATAATCTAATTTCAGACTTGAAATTTTTGCAATATGTTCAGTTACTCACTTCCAGTACAACCCTATTCATGGTTCTGACCTGCCTCATTGGTTTTCATTGATAAACATTTGACCTAAAATAAGAGACACTGTTATACTGTTATTTGTTTAGAGTTTTGACAGCCTTCAATCCCGCATATTGATGGTCTGTGCTTTGGTCCTTTGCTGAACATCAGGAGCCCGACTCTGGCATGGCAGCCTCTCCCAAACTGGCTGGAGATGAATGCAGTAGCTGAGGAGGTGTGCACTTGATCAACCAGCCAACTTTTCTGATTCTCCTTTCTCCTTCCGATGTCCTTTTTAAAAGCTCTGCTTCCAGTAATTCTGGTCTTCAGTGACAGCCTGCCATTTATCTATATCAGTTTGCATCATCTTCCATATTTTGCTTGACGATCTCCTCACGGCAGAGTTATGGACATCCAGCAAGCCATGACCCTGTAACCTGCGATAACACTGTCTTTCGCTCTCTTAATAACAATAAAATGAAAGCATTTTGGATTGATTAATCAAATAACATAAGAACTAGGAGCAGGAGTAGGCAATTCTCTTTAAATGTCTGCCATTGTTCATCAACAATCCTACCTTTTAGTCTTCCTGCCCAATTCACTTCGTGCTAAATCTGTTCTCATACCAATGTCATTAGCCTGCTTCCCAGTTGATTCCCCATATTGCTGCAAAAGAATCTCTAGTGCACTCATGAACTCTCCCTCAAGATCACTCTTGCCAGTTTGATTAATCCAGTTGACATGCAAATTAAAGTCTTTGTATCTTTGTTACAAGCTCCCAGTATGTTCTGGTTTATGCTGTATCTACTGTGGAACTACTGTTGAGGATCTATAGATTAGATTTCCTTGCTATTTTGTATTAATATGCAGATTTATTTTACCTCTTGATCTTCAGTGCCAAAGTCATTTCTCAGTACAGGACTAATCTCAACCTTTACTAACAAGGCTGCACCACCACCTTTTTCCTTTCTGTTTATCCTTCCAAAACATTGACTAGTACCCTTGGAAATTCAATTCTCAATAACCATATCTCAGTAACTGGCAACAAATCATATCCATTTGTCTGTATTTATGCTGTTAACTCATTAACTCCATTGCTACGCGCATTCAGATGCAAACTCTTGAAGTTTATCCTGTTATCAATATTCTATACTCATGTTTGATTCTTTAGTGCAGTATGGCGTTCACGTGCTCTGTCTCTTCCTTTCATTATCTGGAAACAATTAGCCTCATCACGAACCTGCACTCCTACATTCTCCTTACAGTAGGCATTGCAACTGAGCCCCTCCACCCATTAGTTAGTTTAAAGCCCCATCTATAGTCTTATTTAAACGATTTGCCAGGAATCTAGTCTAAGCATGATACAAGTGAAGCCCAACCCAGTGGAATAGCTCCCTCTTCTCCAGTACTGGTGCCACTGTTCCTTGGATCTGAACCCGTTTCTTCTGCACCAACCTTTGAGCCACGTGGTTACCTTGTTAATCTTAGTGATCCTGTGCCTATTAGCTTGTGGCTCAATAGTAATCCTTTGTTTACCTTTATGTGTCTGCTTTCTAATTTAATACCTAGCTGCTTGTATTTCCCCCAACACAATCTCTTTCCTCATTCTCCCTATATAGTTGTTACTGACATGGACCAAGACAACCGAATCTTTCCCCTCCCACTCTGAATTGTTCTGCAGTACAAATGAGAGATCTTTAACCCTAGCACCAGTAGGTAACAATCTTTGGGACACTTGATGCTGGCTACAGTGACCAGTGTCTATTCCTGTAGCTATACTAGCCCTGATTATGACTGCATTTCATCTTTTGGCCACCCATTCTCCCCCATTTGAATGGTTTCCACCACCATGGTACTGGTCAGTTTGCTCATTCTATCCAAGAGCAATAACCTCGAGCGTGTTGGACAAGGACAGTGTCTGGGGGTACTGCAGTGCTACTTCCTGGATCTGTTCACCTGCCTCACTCAGAGCCACTTCCTCATGTACCTGCCCAATGACCAATTTCCAGGTGGTTAATCAAAGGAGAATGATTGACTACATCCTGAAACTTAGTGTCCAGGTAACTCTTCACTTCCCAGATGTGTTGCAGTTTCTGAAGCCCAGACTGCAGTTCATCGACTCTGAGCCGAAGTTCCTCGAGCAACCAACATTTCCTACAGATGTGATCAGCATGAATCTTGGTGGGCATCTTCCAGTTCCTAACACGTTGCCTGGCTTTACATGTCTGTTTTGTTTTATTTAATTAAATTTTCAATTTACTACTGATCTTCAGTTTTCAATCTATAAATATTTCTCTTATTTAGCCTTTAATTTGCAAGCAGGTCAGAAAAGAGAAACTCACTTACCAGTTGCTTACCTGTGATATCGCATTGGCATGACGTCCAGATCTGAGGCATTGGTCTGGTCTGGTCCAGTCCGCACTGATCTGCAGATGTAGTTTGGAAAGCAACACATCCTACCCTCCTTCCCTCAACTCCTACCTTCACAAAACTCCCACATTCCACTTTCTGCAGCTTGCAGTCGTCTTTTTGCTGCTTACGCTGTTAACTTAAATGATTCTATGGAAAACAATTTGTACCCTTTGGGTAGATGAGACAGTGTTGGGAATATTTGGCTTTGTAAATTATTCTTTAAATCCAGGCAACTTGGCCCCATTGTGTTTTTAATAGTCTGTTGCTTTGTCCTGTATGTAATTTGGACAGTGCTGATCTTATTCATTTGTTGCCAAATTTGGTCAGTAATTTTGAAAATACAACACCAAATTGAGTCAGAGACATGCAGCAGGGAAACAGACCCTTCAAGTTAATATTTGTAGCTTAAGCAGTATGAAAATGAATGGAAACATGCACTTAAAGTTTATATGCAGCCTCTGAGGAATTATAATTTGCAGTGTGAAGAGATCATGTTAACAAGGCTACTAGGAATTTTAGCTCAAGAAAATAGTAGTTGTTTCAGTCTTCTTCCGCAAAATAGCAACATTGTTCATATACTGTAGACCGAATATGTGTTTCGCTCATTGATACCTTTCTCAAGGAAAATACTCAATCTGTTTGCTAATGATCAACATTGTGATTTTGTGATCAAAACAAAGATATGGGTGTTAAAAAATCTAAAATGTTGCAGTTTTGATATTTCAGTACGTGCATCAAGTACTGTTGAGGTCAGGTGCTGTACATTCAGCTGCAGAGTGAAACTCCCTGTTTTATCCTTTAGCAAGTTTTCAAGTAGCATCTTCTGGGCACTGCTGATATTGCCATTTGGAGGTAGCTTTAAATGCTGGACCAGCATCCACAAGGAGCCAAATTATGATTGTCTAACGTAGCAAGAGCCTTACAATTAGCATCTGACCTCCAGTACCTTATTCATTTTATTTTCAAAAATACCCTTTTTGCACTGTTTTATTTTCCATCTCTGACTAATTTCTTAAATCCCTCAGTATCCACATCCCCCTTCACACCTCAACCCTGCTTTCTGTATATATCCATAGAGAAAGCTATTCTTCAATTCATTGACTGTGTACACCAAATCCCAGTTAACTAACCTTTGGCCCCCAATCAATGTATTATTTTTGCAGCTCCTGATTTACTGAACCATGTCGTCAACCTTGACCTCTGATGCCTGGGTCCTCAAATACAATAGCACTCTCACCTTGACCATTCCCTTGGCAAAGGCCCTATCCCTATTCACTTAAGTCCAAGGGAAGTAGATTTGAAAGGATATGGCACACAAGCATCACTATTTAATCTGACTGGACCACTTAAAATGCTATTGTGTCCTATTCTAGTTTACTAAAACTGCTCGTTATTCTAAGATCTTCCTGAATTGCAGTGATAGCACCCAGGTTTTCTTAATTGCAGATCATGTTCTTAAACCACCTTGCCCATCCCCTTCATCATTGCTTCTGACGAGTAAAAGGGATTTAAGTACCTTTCACGAAGATTGAGAAAATCCAATCGGCTGTCCCTTCCCAAAGCCTGCCTTGCCAAACTTTGTTTAATGAATCTCCCTGCCGTGTCCTTGAACCATTTCTCAAATTTATTCTCCAACTCTTTCATGACCTCTTTGAGCTCATCTTGTCCATGAGTTCTCTCATTCAGTCTCTGAAAACCCCTGATGACCTAGATTTCCCTTCTGACCCCCAAGTTAGCTGATATTGTTAATACTTTGCTCTTCAGTGCTATTCCTCTCTCCTTTAAATCTGCCATCGTTGCCCCTCCCCAAAAATCAGTCCTTAACCCTTCCATTCTTGCAAATTTACCGTCTCATCACCAGCCTCCCTTTCAAATCCTTCTGTGCATTGTCACTTCCCAAATTCACCTTCACAATCTTTGGAGGGATTCGAACATGTACTCCTATCGGGTTTCTGCACAGTCACAGTCCTGAAACAGTTTTCATCAAATTTGCAGATGGTATCCTGTACGATTGTCACAAAAGTTAAATTTTCCCTGTATATCTTTCTCCATTCCTCTGCAGCCATTGACCAAACCATCCCACTGCAACACTTCTCCACTATTGTCTATTTGGCTGGAACTGTTGTCATTGTTCCATTCTTACCTATCTAATCATAGCCAGAGAACCGCTAGTACTGGCTATTCTTTCTGCTGCTGCACTGTTTCCTGTGGTATCCCCAAGGACTGATCCTTATTTTACAAATTACCCCTTGGTGACTTGATTCAAAGACGAAATTAGTTTTCATGTCCACTGATGACACACAGCTCTACCTCTCCTCCAACACTTAATTCCTCCACTATTGCTAAATTATTAGACTACTTGTACAATATGCAGTACTTGATGAGCAGAATTTTTTTCCAATTAAATATTGGCAAGAATGAAGTTACTATTTTTGGTTCCAGCTCCAAATTCCTTTCTCTAACTCCTAACATAGTCTGTTGTCCTTCTTCCTGGCAACAATCAATCTGTTCACAACCATGATATCATCTTGATCCTAACGTGAGCTTCCAATTTGCCTTGCATATGTCTAAAACTACCTATTTCCACCTCTAATATTGTTCTACTTCACTCTACTTCATCTCATGCTGCTGAATGCTTCACCTTTTGTTACCTCCTAGCTTGGAATATTCCAGCACATTCTACCCTTGCCGAGCGATCATGGTTTCCAAGTATGAGACCGGGACCTTGTAATTTGTAACTTCTTTGGTTTGGCCTATAATAGTTGCTTCAGAAATTGTAAATGTAAGGTTTTTGTATCAGTCTGTAAGAGGAAGTTGTCTACATGTTACGTTAAGCACTCCAGTTGGGAAAATGTTTGCAATCCTTTAACTAGTCTCTGATGAAAGGTAGAGAGGCAGTTGTGAAAACCCTGGGGTAAACAACTTCATGTGTTTGCTGGCCCTGGAATATAAAAGCAAATTTGTACTGGCATTGCCTGTGAAGTAAGGTTGCTAATGTCCAGCACTCTGAAATATTTTGTTCATGGAGCTCTTCACATATGGTCTTGGGCTGGTTGCTACTGTAGGTACTGCAATTGGGGTAGATTTACTGAGGTTGATCTACACTATTCGACTTCATGCCACATACTTACTGTGGAGAGGCCTGGCACCGTCATACTCTGGTATCTGTATCCAAATGAGGATACAAGGGACTGGAGTGTGTCATCTCCCTCACTAAATTTACTGTAGTGGATCTTGTCAATCCCTCTAGTGGCAAAGTTCAGGGTCTCTGTTCTCACTCCATTCACAGTGCTTGCTGATGGGGTGCCTTCCAGAGTGCCTACAATTATAACATTTCCCCTGTGGCAGCTGCTGCCTCGGTCCTCTCTGCTGCAGGTCCCTACCACTCGCTGTGGGAGAGGCGTATAGGAGTAGATAACACGTGTAGTAGCTTCCCCTATTTCTGCACCTCCCTTCTTCGGTCACACAGGACCTTGTTGTTGGTGTCTGTCGGGTTGAGACAGACAGGGTTCAGCACCATATTTTCTGCATGCATCTGATTAATCTTGCCTCCCTTGCTGTGTTTAGGGTGCTCTAAGTTGTGGACATCTTTCTCCCAGGCCTGTGTCATCCTTCTAAGTACCCAAACCTTAGTGCAGACGTTATTGGCTGAGTCAAAATTCTCACGCACTTTCTTTGCTACCTCAGTGGTGTGTGAACAAGGATTCAGATCCAGTTCACTACCCAGAGACGCTAATGTTATAAAGTGAAAGGATAGGGTACATGTACATTGGCTAAACTTGACCAGTTTGCAGTAACCCTTTTTGACTCTAGTGCATTATGTGGTCAGATCGGCCAAGATAGAAGAAGGCTCAGGGAAGTTCCAACACAACTTTATTGAACACTTAAGGAAAAAGAATATTTATCAGACTCTGCTGGTCTTTAATTAATCTCTATTCAACTCTATCAATCGCATGACAGGACTCTTCAGTAAACAGTCTTAAATTTGTGCTAGCTATCTATTTCTGACACGTTCTTCTGATGATTCACTACACCTTATCCACAAGTTCCGACCAATGTATTTGAATTGTTTGTCTGAAAAAACTGATAATGTCAATTCAGCCAGGCTGGGACAGGCTGCTTCTCGGTATTTGAGAGTTGGCTGATGTTTCAGGATCTACAGGCATTGATTTGGGGCTTCCCCTTTAGTCTGGAGCTGGTTCTGCTTTTCAGGTCGTCTCACCAAGGTGATCTGTCTGGAGATGCAGTTGAGACAAGTGCAAAAAGCAGAGAGCGCTTGGGTTCCGGGTCGTTCCCTTTATTCCTCTCTTTGTGCCCTTCTACTGGGCTGGGTACCACTCAGCCTGTGTAACATTCTTCTGACAAAGCAGGTTGTTATGACCAGACTAAACCCCCTCAAAATATACTCAGAAGGTAGACTTGACCCTAACTTTTTCTTATTTTAAAGTGAAGTGTAAAGTGTTGCATTCCAGGTGCAATTTGAATGGTCAATCTAGCGGATTTGAAGCAAATCACACCTTATTCGTATATTATATTTGAAATACAACAAAAGATAAAAAGAAATTGAAATAATGTAACTCAACTGGAAAACTGGTTCATCCCGCAGCGCCAGTTCTGCTTACCAAAAGTGGCCCACTAGGCACTCACATTCCACGCCCGGCTCCAAGCCATCGATATCCATTTCAAGCCTACCGACTCCCACAGCTTCCTAGAATACACCTCCTCCCACCCACCTTCCTGCAAAAATGCCATACCCTATTCCCAATTGCTTCGCCTCCGCCGCGTCTGCTCCCAGGATGAGGCATTCCACTCCTGGACATCCCAGATGTCCTCGTTTTTCAAGGACCGCAACATCCCCACCCCCCCAACAGTGGTCGAAAACGTCCTCAACCGCGTCTCCCGCAGCTCATCCTTCACACGCCTCCCCGCAATAACAACCAAAACAGGATCTCCCGCGTCCTCGCATACCACCCCACCAACCTCCGAATCCAACGCATCATCCTCCGGCACTTCGCCATTTGCAATCTGACCCCACTACCAAAGACATTTTTCCCTCCCCACCCTTATCTGCTTTCCAAAGGGACCCCTCTCTCCATGACTTCCTCGTCCGCTCCACACTTCCCAGCAGCCCCACCACTTTTCCCTGCAACCGCAGGAAGCGCTACACCTGCCCCTACACCTCCCCTGTCGCCCCCATCCCAGGCCCCAAGAAAACCTTGCACATCAAACAGATGTTCACCTGCACATCTGCTAATGTGGTATACTGTATCCGCTGTTCCCGTTGTGGCCTCCTCCACGTCGGGGAAACCAAGCGGAGGCTTGGGGACCGCTTTGCGGAACACTTACGCTTGGTTTGCAACAAACAACTGCACCTCCCAGTTGCGAACAATTTCAACTCCTTCTCCCACTCCTCAGACGACATGTCCATCCTGGGCCTCCTGCAGTGCTACAACGATGCCACCCGAAGGTTGCAGGAACAGCACCTCATATTTCGCTTGGAACCCTGCAGCCCAATGGTATCAATGTGGACTTAACAAGCTTCAACATCTCCCCTCCTCCGACCGCATCCCAAAACCAGCGCAGCTTGTCCCCACCTCCCTAACCTGTCCTTCCTCCCACCTATCCCCTCCTCTCACCTCAAGCCCCACCCCCATCTCCTACCTACCAGCCTCATCCCGCCCCCTTGACCTGTCCGTCCTCCCTGGACTGACCTATCCCCTCCCTAACTCCCCACCTACACTCACCTTTACTGGCTCCACCCCCGGCTCTTTGACCTGTCTGTCTCCTCTCCACCTGTCTTCTCCTTTATCCATCTTCTTTCTTCTATCCGCCTTCCCCTCCCCCATTTCTGAAGAAGGGTCTAAACTGGAAACGTCAGCTTTCCTGCTCCTCTGATGCTGCTTGGCCTGCTGTGTTCATCCAGCTCTACACCTTGTTATCAATAGATTATTTAACTGCTAAACAGTAACTGTTCCAATATAGTGGCAGCCCAAAAACACACACTTGACAAAGGCAAATTCAGAAAAACAGATTGTCTCACATGCAACTCCAGCAGAAGGAAGACAGCCCCCAGCTTTTAGCTGTAACTGAGAGAACGGAAAAACAGCTTCCACGTCTTCAAGACCCCAACAGCAACTGCTGAAAGCTAAAACTAAAAATCCTCATTCTGTGGGAGCTTGACCACACCCATTCAGACCGCTTCTATTGTTCCAATTTTAGAAAAGAACCCCAAGGCGCCTCAAGCTGTTTATGAATTTTCAGTAGACAGCTCGGGATCTCTACCTTAAAACCTCTCTTCAAAACAAAGGACAAAATGCACCTCTTAAAACCCATAGCACCGTCACAAGGTTCACTGGAGGTATAAACAATGGTTCATTTTGAAACAATATGGCCACTAGCACTTGACCAGGCAGTTCCAGGCCTGTTTGTTTTCGATGGGACGTTGATTGTTCAAGGTCTGGCTACACAAAGACTGTCTGTTCCAGCTCTGTAGTTTGCAAACTGAAGAGTCCAGCTGGGTTTAAATTTGGTTTCCACGTTTTGAGTTTTGAATTCAGTGCTTATGTGGAAAGTATTAATATCTCTATGGTTCTGGAGGTCACATGACCACAATGATAACAGCATTCTTTGCATCGGGGAAAAAGTGCCAAAGAAAAGGGAAAAATTGATTTTTTTTTTAACCAATTTACTGCAATCCAACTATGCAATTGTACTTGTTGGCTGTAACCTGGTAATCTGGCACAAGGTTAATTAACAGAGTTGTTAACTTTCAATTATTCAATGTCGGCAGATATTTCTACATTAAAACAATTAGTCTGTTACATTATGATTATGGTATAGTAATATTTAAATTTGATGTGTGACTTGGAATTGGTGTATAGAAGGATCTTTATTTTCTAGGCATTTTTTCATTTCACCTTTTTTATTTCTTAAGGTGGCTTGTGGACTACAGCAACCAGTCACGCCATCGTCTTTCACAGCTGTCAAACAATCTGTGAAGGATAGACTAGGGCCCCTACCACAAGGAAATGTCGAACCCACGCAAACTCAGGTCATTCCTGTAGCCAACATTCAGGTATGTACATAAAAATCCATCACCAAGTCTTTGTTAATTCATAATGCAAGTATTGTTTCTGATGGAGTTGACTAGTTCAGGTACATGGTTTTCATTCGGTCCCCAAAGAGCATATTAGTATAACCCATATATCTCTCTGTGGAACAGTAGTTATCTAAATATTTTTATTTAAATATTTGGTGGCCACTTCACTTATTATAATTATCACAAAATAAGGCATGCCTTTGTTTATCTTTTCTCATGAGGATTTGCGCTCAGGTACTCTCTCCATTGCAAATACTTTTGCCAACGAGTTATTTACTCAAAAGCTGCTGCATAACTTAGACTTGTTTCTTTCCTGGAACCACAAATTTCTTCATACTTTGAAGTTACAAGTTCCTTTTTTTTTGTTGCTAGAAGTCTAGTTTAATCTGACATGATGGCAACATTTTGACATTGTGCCAGGCTTGACTATTCCAATTGAATACTGGTTGTTTCCCAATTTCTACCTTACCCCAAGCTTGCTGATCAGCATTGGCTCCTGGCCAAGCAACAATTCTTTAAGATTTTCAAACCTATCAAATCCTCTATTTGTATGAATCCTCTCTATCTCTGTGCTCTTCCAATTTCTCAACCCTCTAATACATCTGCACTGACATGATTCTGACCTTCTAAACATTACCAGTTTCAATTGCTCCACTGTTGATGACGTCTCCTCCAGCTGCCTAGGAAGGACTGAACTTCATGAATTTCTTCCAGAATTTCACTTCCCTGCCTCTCTACTTTGCTTCTTTTAAAACAGTCTTTAAAGCTTACCTTTGACTTTTGATAATCTGATCTTGTATTTCCTGAAGCATGACATAAATAGAAGTTGCCATACTAATAATCTTTATTTGAACAGTAATTTTCGTTGAAGTGATTTCACTAAGAAATGAATGATGGTATTTAAGCACTCTGAGGACTGGTGATCTGTGGTGAAGTTAAAGGATGTGTATTGGTTAAGGTGCAGCAGTAATTGGTGATATTACCATTACTATTCAGTATTACCATTACTATTCAGTATTACCAAATGCAGTTACTGCAGGTGCTGTAATTCTGAAATGAAAACATGCTATCAACACTCGAAAGATTGGGCAACATCTGTGGAAAGAAACAGAGTCACCACATGAGGTCAATTACATTTCATTTCTGATGCCAGTTTTCCTCTGACCCTTTGTCTGCCAAGCTCTTCTTTTCCTGGGATACATTTCTGTGAACCTAACTGGACTAGCCCTATCAATACTGTGGTTGGAATTTCTGCAGTCTAACTTGCCTCCTGATTTCCCAGAGCCTGTCCACACTCTGCAGGCGCAAGTCAGGAATGATATTGAGTATTCCCTGCTTGCAAGGATGGGCGTAGCTCCAACAACATTTGAGAAACTGACACCATCCAGGATAAAATAGCCTGCTTAATTTTTGCATCCCATCCATCACCTTCAACTTTCATATCTGTCACTGGGTATTGATCGTGAAGGAAATGTGTGCCATCTCCAAGATAGACTGCAACAAGTCAACACAACCTCTTTAATGTCACCCTGCAAATCTGAACCTCTACCACCCAGAAGTACAAGGGAAGAAAGTGATTGGGAACACCACCTGCAAGTTCCCCGAGAAGGCACAAACACTTGGAAATACAGGTAGTTCTGCTATAACGCATGTTTCGTTAATGCAAATTGGCTGTAACGCGGTTGAGGAATAGTGGACATTGTTTGGATAACGCGAACTTTCTGATGTACAGGTATAGCCATTTTCCTATAACACGATTTTCCTTGGCCATTTTCTATAACGCAAGGTCACACAAGCATGCAACTGTCACGTTATAGGAGAACTACCTGTAATCGCTATTCTTTCACTTTTGCTGGGTCAAAATCCTGGATTTCTCCTCAGCTGTACTGTGTGCTTGTTCTCACACCACTTGGACTACAGTAGTTCAAGAGGGTGTGTCACTAGCACTTTCTTCTGACGTTCAGATAGGGATGGGGGTTGGCTTAGCCAATAATACCACATTCTGTGAAGAAATAAATATTTAAAAAGAGAAAAAGTGAGCATCCTCCAGTACTTTACCCAAATATCTATAATGCATTTCTGTTTGGAGAAGACAGAGGACCGAAATCATGGTTGAATCCAGTCCCCTTTAAACACACATGGTACATCTTGTGAATCAATTTGATGAGTCATCAGGAGAATCTATGAATTAGTAGATTTCCAAAGGAGTGCATATGCCAAGCAGACTTAATGAGTGTTGAACATTTATTGAAAAAAGAGAGTATTCTGTCTTTGGTAATGTTTAATTTTCTCTTCCCTTCAGAATTCAAGTAAACTGTCGGTTAGAGATCGACTTGGCTTTGTGACTAAGCGCCCAGAACCTGCTCCAACTGAAAAGGTAGAATTTAGTTTATACTGCTGGTGGAGCCATTGGCATTCACAAAATAACACTGTTTTCATTTTTATTTTGAACATTATGCCAATGCAAATCTGATGCATGATTACTACCCACAGTTATTTCTTGTTCTTCGTGTATGCAAAAGCAAACTTGATGTCCATTACCAATTTTAACCTACTTGTGAAAGTATAGTCGCCAATATCATGTGAGATAGTCTGTCTGGATAGTTAACCTTGCAAAATATTTGTCATTAGAGTGACATTTTATATTATCTTGGCTACAATAATTTGCTGTATTTGTGAAACAAAGTTTTAATTTTGACCCTGTTTCCTTTTACGATGGAAAATAACTATATTTGTGCTGCAGGTGTTATCAACTACAACAGGCCTTACAAAAACCGTCTACAATCCAGCTGCCCTAAAGGCAGCGCAAAAAACATTAGGCCCTGTTTCATCAGATTCTACAGAGACGCCCAAAAAAAAACAGGTTTGTTGGGGTTGTGACAGTTCCATGCTTTGAAATTTATCGACGTACTACTGAGCAGATGACTATACAGTGTTTCAGGATAGGAAATTGATATTATTGCCGAAAATGAAGAATTTGGATTTTTAAGCTGCCAGCAGCTCCTGGTTTAAATTTTTTTCATAAAATCAACAGCATGCTTTTTGATTGAAGTTCATTTATTAATTACCATTGTCCCATTCTTTAACAGTATAATCAGTTGCAGGTTAGTAAATTAAATACTGTAGATCATGGTGTATAAGTCAACCTTTTGAAGCTTCCAAAAATGGGGGAGGGTCCATTTATCGCTGGGTATAAAACATAGACCACTGGTGAGGATGTGGGTAGTTGCCAGTCTGTAATGTGGAGAGAAGTGCTCTGGTGTTTTGATCATTTCTGCTGCACAGTTTGGCTGCTGTCAGGCATATCAAAATTCACGGGCATTTCATCCATGTTGCCAGTGTGACATAACAGGTAGTCATGATTTTGCCCTATTAATGAATAGTTGGAAGCAGGTCATTTTGACATTGAGGTCTTGAGGTAGTCTGAGTAATCTTGGTCTTCTGCGACCACACTAAACTGTTTAGTTCGTTAAGACAACTACACGAAATAGCTGGTGAAATCTCTGAGAGACTCTTTGATTTAGCCCACTTAATGATTATTGGTGATAACATCACATTTATTTTTGATCCAGATCAGGCCAGAAGCTGGACCCAGTTCTTATTTCGCATTTGGTCTTGGACATTTTTTTCAGGGCTGATTCCTCCTCCTTCTCCTTCTCCTTCCCTTCCAGCAGTAGCTTTTTGGGAGCACATTTAATTGACAAATTAGCAAATATTGCAACTTTTGACTTGAAAAGCCACTTTGTGCTTCATTCTTTTTGTTGGAAGACCTATTTCTGTATTGTGTGTCTGGTGCTGTGTGTCTGGGAAACTTCTGGGTGTGTTCTTCATAACTGCTCGCTGCATGATCAGTGCACTGACCTACATTGGAAGGTAAATAAAAACAAATTTCTGATATGAAAAATTGAAATTTGACTACCAATGAGAGTAGAGCGTTTTTTTTTTAACAGAGAAGGGGATTTGACTTGTTATCGAGTAATTGCAAAAGCTTGACTTTTGACACTGGAAAAATGGGGTTGCCTTGCATGTCATGTTTACTCATATGCAGTGATCTATGGTATCCTGTCCCTAATGACTCTCCACGTTAAAACGATGTGAATTGAAGTTTTTCTAAGTGAAGCTGGAACTTTCATTTTTATTTCTGGCATATGCCAATTTAATATTAGACACATGAATGGAAATTATATCTGGACAACATCACTTTAGTGGCTCAGAAAGTAGAGGTTTCCTTTGGAAAGGAAACACGTTGAGAAATGGCACAGTCTGATGTAGACTTCCATTTTGGGGGTACGCTACTAGCTTGAACAGCTGAGCATTTTTCCGTAAGATGACTTAAACTACTGAGTAATGTTATGAAAGTAACTTTAGAACCTAAGGCCCACATTTTATATGGTAACCTACTTCTAAACATAACTTAAAATGTATGCTTAAAAACATTGTCTAAAATAGCTGCCTATTGCATACCCACCACACACCCACCAAATTCTCAAAAAAAGTCCACCTTTTCCTTATCTGCCTCACTTCGGAGTATTGTTTTTGTCCATGCTTCTGTTTCAGCCCTTTCTGGTTTTAAACCTATTATATCGTTTTACAGGATACACTTAGACTTCAGCAGGATGTGAGGAAAAAGAAACGAGAAATTTTAGAAAAGCACATTGAAACACAAAAGGTATTTAGTCTTGCATCTATTTTTAGTTTTCTGAGATCAATCTGTTGAAACCCTGCTCTGTGATGTGCTGTTGATCATTCTTTTCAGTGCTGAGATACTTCGGTTTGTACAATCTTCCACTTCTACATGGGAGTGTAGTTTGTCAATATACGTGCAGTCCTTTTTACCTGTATGTCAAAAAAATTATATGATGTGTTTTCATTAATTTATGTCTATTTTGTGACACCAGTGTCCCTGTGAACTGCCTCTTGAGTGGATAATTACACGTTAAGCATGTGCAACCTGGCTATGATCGGTCAGTTGCTGTATGCAGAATAATAGGCTTTCAGGACAGATGAATTTCCATTTGCATATATGATGATGTGCTGAAGTTGTTGCAGGGATGTACAAAAGTGTTGGATGGATGAGGCCATTTGGTCCATGGTGCTATATGCATCGTGTCAAAACACCTTCTTCCTATGCGCTTACAGGAAATACACATGTATAAAAGGAACGGGAAACCAGATCAGAAGTCCAAAGCTCTCTGTGTGTTTGTGTGAAGGCAGTTGGGGTGTATGGAAAGTCTCTATCCGATCCCTCTAGCAAATCAGTACTAGTCTAGCGCCGCACACTAACCTCACTTCTTCTTTTCAGACCTCACGTATGATGCATTCTGTGCCTTGTGCAAGAATTTCTCAACACCCTAAATTATGTAGTCACACAATCCCATTTCACATGCTAATAATGTGTTCCAATGTTTTACTAATCGCTAGGAAAAAAGTACTTAAGGGATCCAAGGGGCAACTTTATCACATAGAGGGTGGTGCATGTATGAAACGAGCTGGTGGAGGCTGGTACAATTAGAACATTTAAAAGGCATCTGATGGGTACATGATTAGGAAGAGTTTAGAGGGATATGGGCCAAATGCTGGCAAATCGGACTAGTTTAATTTAGGATATCTGGTCAGCGTGGACGAGTTGGACGAATGGTCTGTTTCCGTGGTGTACATCGCTGAACTAAGTCAACTGTTTCTTGAGCATTCATTTTACGTTCAACTTTCTAGACCTTCCACAAACTAATCGCGTTTAGGCTGACTAAATCATTTCAATTTAGTCCCTTCACTTTTTTTAATAGACCTCAATCAAATTGCTTGAGTCTGTATCTTTCTGAAATATTTAGACTCCATTTGGACAGTAAAGGGAACAAAATTATAAATGACAGTAAATCACTGTCTTTTTGAAAGGACCATTTTCTTTTGTACTGCAGCAAGTGCCCTATTTTCTTTACCCCAAATTGATTGATTGTAAACTTAATCCCGTGAATGTTTTTTATTCACCATGTTCTTCAGCATACAGTAATGTGTCGTATTGGTCCTGCTGACAAGAATAACATTCCACTCTTAGAAAATAAATTCTATTGCCAAATCTTTACACCTTCTCGCAGCATACCATGATCTCCTCACAGTCATTTAGTTTCCTCTACTGTCATTAGACCTACAAAAATCATTGTATCAATTTGAATTTGGATATGACCTGCATCCAAACTACTAAAATGGATAGGAAAGGGACATTTAGGGAGACCCCCACTAGTCACTGGTGTTTTAAATAGGGTCACTGCTTTAGATGGCAGCTTTCTCATTGAGAAGCGGGTTTTTTTGCCATTGTGACAAATTCTTGAGTTTGTTCCAGATTCTAGATGGGTGGGATTCAGTGTTTGCCAATCTCTGGGAAAGTTACTATCAGTCAGGCAGGTCCAACTGAGACATGAAAGGTTTTTCTGGTGTCCAGTTAAAATAAAATTTTATTTTGCCTTTCTGGCACCCAAAGTTCGGACATGAAAAATAATATCAAAGTAGCAAGAGTGAATTCTAAGATATATCATTTCTGCCAAGGAAGTCAGGAGCAAGAGCAAAAAATATGAAATTCAATTAAACACTGTTGTTTAAGCCTCTTTTGGTTTCTTGTGTTATATGAATCAGATTGGGAGAAGAATCCATATGTGATTTTTAATAATAAATCCAAGGAGTTACTTCCTTTGCCTTGTTAGAACAGTAGAATGTTTAAATATATGAACATTTCAATTCAGTTAAGTGCAATTTTATCAAAACTGTTCACTTTGATAGGTAATTGCAAGGTTCCTCATCACAGGCTTTGTCTGTTCAGCTAATGCATAGATATTTTCTAATCAACCTGTTAAGAAATATTATTGAGCATCTTTGGAAAGATGGCTTCCTGGTTCAAAGGCAGAGATATTACTACTGTACCACACAAACCGTTCGGCTAATGCATATCTAACCGTTGTTGAGGTGCATCACTTAAGCATCGTTTAGGTTTGATTGGCACTTAAATACTGACTTAATTACATCATCTTTGAAAAACACAATTAGTGTCAAAGCTCTCTAGTGATTCAAATCCTTTATGGAGCTTTGAAGGTCCTGGGCCCTATTACTTGATTCCGATTTAAACCCTCTAATTTTAGGAGTAAATCAGATGCAGAATAAAATGAGCAGATTCATCTAAGTTACAGATCCAACCCTTTATTTTCTCATCGTCCGCTCACCAAACTCTGATGTATCGATACGATAACAAAATTAATCCCATCCAATGAAAGGTCTCATACTGGTAACTCAATGTGCCAGTTCATTGTTGCCAGCTAATTAAAATTATGCAGTGACTTCTTAAAACTTAAACTGAATGTGTAGACATGTGCACAATCAGGAAACCGTGAGTAGTCTGATCAAGTGAAGTCCAGAACACAATACAGGACAATATAAAATAGCTATTCATAAATACAGAAAACATGCAGACGTCGGGTCTTTAAAGTTGCACCTCTGTCTGGGATCACGTTGCGTAAGATGAGAGGATATAGTGCAGAATTAGGCCATTCAGCCCATCGAATCTGCTGCACCATTCAAACATGACTGATATTTCTCAATCCCATTCTCCTGCCTTTTACTCGTAACCTTTGATGGCCTCGCTGATCAAGAACCTATCTATCTCTGCCTTAAATAAAGTCAATGACTTTGCCTCCATAGCCCTTATGCAGCAACAAGTTCCACAGATTATCCACCTTCTGGCTGAAGAAATTCATCCTTGTTTCAGTTCTAAAGGGGCGTCCCTTCACCCTTGAGGCTGTGTCTTTGTGTCTTAGTCTCACCTACTAGTGGAAACGTCTTCCATGTCCATTGTATCCAGGCCTCTCTGTATTCTGTAAGTTTCAATGAGATCCCCCCTCGTCCTTCTAATACACATCTAAACTTCGGAACTCCATGGAGTACAGACCCAGAGTTCCCAACTGTCCTTATGTGACAAGCTCTTCATCCCCTGGATCATGCTTGTAAATCATCTCTGGACCCCTCAAACATCACATCCTTCCTTAAGGTTTTTGAGTAGATCTGTCACTCGGGTTGTGGGTGTTGAGGTTGGTTGGCTCACCGAGCTGGTTTGTTGTTCCGCAGACGTTTCATTACCGTGCTTGGTAACATCCTCCGTGCAACCTTGAATGAAGCGTCAGTGTGTTTTCCCGCCTGGTTTTTAAACTCTGGGGTCTGTTGCGATGGATTGCCTCACTTCCAGGTTTCCTCCGTAGTGGAATGTATACGGGGTCGAGTTCAATGTGTTTATTAATAGCATGCTTCGTGGAGTGCCATGCTTCCAGGAATTCTCGTGCTTGTCTCTGCCTAGCCTGTCCCAGGATCTTGGTGTTGTCCCAGTCGAAGTCGTGGTTCTCCTTGTCCATGTGGATTGAGATGAGCGAGTATTGGTCGTGTCTTTTTGTAGGCAGTTGGTGTTCATGTACTCTTGTTGTTAGTTTCCTTGTCGTAGGGTTGATGTGGGCTTGTGTGCCACACTGATGCCCAGTAACCATCCCAGCACACACAAACGAAGCTGCGTGCGAACACTATTTAAAAGGGCAACCACACACTGCAGCAACATGGAACTACGCCAAGAGGAGGAGGAATATCTCTTCCAAGTGTTCAAGGATAATGGATATCCAAAGAACTGGGTCAGGAGATGCCTACAGGAACAGCATCAGAAAGATTCTACATGCCCCGACACACTCATCACACTACCCTACATCAGGAACACGTCAGAACTCGCCACAAGACTTCTACGACTGCTGGGCGTCAGAGTGGCACACAAGCCCACATCAACCCTACGACAAGTGCTCACCCGAATAAAGACCTACTCTCCGCCATGGACAGGATCAATGTCATCTACAAGATTCCCTGCAGAGACTGCGAGAAACACTACATCAGACAAACGGGAAGGAAACTAACAACAAGAGTACATGAACACCAACTGGCTACAAAAAGACACGACCAATACTCGCTCATCTCAATCCACATGGACAAGGAGAACCACGACTTCGACTGGGACAACACCAAGATCCTGGGACAGGCTAGGCAGAGACAAGCATGAGAATTCCTGGAAGCATGGCACTCCACAAAGCATGCTATTAATAAACACATTAAACTCGACCCCGTATACCTTCCACTATGGAGGAAACCCGGAAGTGAGGCAATCCGTCGCAACGGACCCCAGAGATTAAAAACCAGGCGGCAAAATACACCGACGCTTCATCAGAGGCTGCACTGAGGATGTTACCAAGCACGGTAACGAAACGTCTGCAGAACAATAAACCAGGTCAGCGAGCCAACCAACCTCAACGTCCTTCCTTAGATACTGGGCCCAAAACTGCTCTCAATATGCTAAAAGCAGTATGACCAGAGCCTTATACAGCCTCAGCAGTACATCTTGCTTTCGTATTGTAGACCTCTTGAAATGAATGCTAACATTGCATTTGCCTTCCTAAATGCCAACCGAAGCTGCATCTTCACCTGAAGAGATCCTGAACTAGGACTGCCAAGTCCCTTTGTGCTTCAGATTTCTGAAGGCTTTCCCCATGTAGAAAGTAATCTACACCTCTATTCTTCCAACCAAAGTGCATAACCTCACACTTTCTCACATTGTATTCCATTTGCCACTTCTTTGCCCACTCTCCCACCTTGTCCATGTCCTTCTGGAGCCTCCTTCTTCCCTGATACTGCCTTTTTCTTCAACTATCTTACAACTATCTTAGCAACAACGCTGTAGTGTTCTTCATTTGGATCATTAATGTATAACGTGAATGGTTGTGGTCCCAACATGGAAACCGTGCGGAACTCCACTAGTCACTGGCTGCCATCCTGAAAAAGACCTCTTTATCCTTAGTCTCCGCCTTCGGCTAGTCAGCCAATCCTCTATCCATGCCAGTACCTTGCCTGTAACACCATGGGCATCTTTAACTGCCTCCTGTGCCGTACCTTGTTGAAGGCTTTCTGGAAATCCAAATAGATCACGTACACTGGTTTCCTTTGTTTAACTTGCTGATTATTTCCTCAAATAATTCTAACAGATTTGTCATGCAGGACCCCCCGCCCCTTGATGAAGCTGCGTTGACTGAGCCCTATTTTACCATGTACTTCCAAGTACTCTGTAATCTCATTCTTAATAATTGACTCTCAAATCTTACCAATGACTGAGATTAGTCTAAATAGCCTACCGTTTCCAGTCTTGTGCCTCCCTTGCTTCTTAAACAGGTGTTACATTAGCCATTTTCCAGTCTTCCGGGATCCTCCCTACTCCAATGATTCCTGTGAGATCACCACCAATGCCTCTTAAAAAATCTCCTCAGCAAACTCCTTCAGAACTCTTGGGTGTGGTCCACCTGGTCCAAGTGATTTGTCCACCTTGGACCTTTCAGCTTCCCTAGCACCTTTCCCCTAGTGATGGCCACTATGCTCAACTCTTCTTCCTGACTCCATTGAAGTTCTGGTATACTGGTGGTGTCTTCCACTGTGAAAACTGATACAAATTGCCTATTTACCATTTGTTTGTTGCCCATTATTACTTCTCCAGGCTCCGTTTCCAGTGGTCCAGTGTCCACTGTTGGCTCTTAATTAGTTTTTAGAGAAGATTGGAAGTGTTTTTAAGTATCTGATATTACCAGCTAGCTTATTCTAATATTTCATCTCCCCCACCCCCTTTACTGCTATTTTTAAAGGCTTCCTAATAGTCTGGCTTCCCAATAATCTTCACCATGTTGTTTGCTTTTTCTTTTCTCTTTATGCTGTCCCTGTCTTCCCTTGTCAACTTTGGTGACCTCGTCCTTCCCTGAGTATGTTTCTTTTTCCTTAGTTTGAGTTTCTGCTGTGTCTCTTGAATACCCCTTGTAACTCTTAGCATTCCCTGCTAGGCCCCTCTTCCAATCAACTCTGGGCAGCTCCTCCCTCATGTCTTTGTCGTAAGCTTTACTCATTTGAAATGCTGTTAGACGTGATTCCAGCTTCTCCCCCTCAACTGTAAGGTGAATTCTGTCCTATTATGGCCACTGCCCACTTGGAGTGCCTTCACCTTAAGCCCCCTGATCAAATTACACATCATGAAATCCAGAATTGCCTGATTCCTAGTGGGCTATACCACAAGCTGCTCCAAAGAAACCATCTTGTAGACATTCCATGAATTTCTTTTCTTGAGACTCACTATCAACATGATTTTGCCAATCCACCTGCATATTTAAGTCTCCATGATTAATCTAATAGAAAAGGCAAGTTGCAAAGGTACTGTTTCCCGATTTATTTTCTTCCCCACATCCTGACTACTGCTAGGAAGCTTGTACACAACTTCCATCAGAGTCTTTTTTGTTTTTCCTTTTGCTGTTCCCAAACACTCCACATTCTGACTCTATATCACTTCTTCTAATCTATCTAATTTCATTTCTTACTAACCAGGCAACTCTGCGCATTTGTCTGCCCTTTAAATAGAATGTGTATCCTTGGATATTTAGTTCCCAGACCTAACCCCCTTGTCTCTGTGATAACCCCAACATCATACCTGCCAATCTCAATCTGTGCTGCAAATTCATTTGCTATGTTTCATGCATTTAATACAATACCCTCAGCTCTGCATTGACTGCCCCCCCTTCTCAAAGTTATCCCCTTATCTGCTGTGCCTGAAGTTAGATTCCTGACCTTTTCCATACTCTTTGTCCTGTTACTTGTTCTGGAGACTTTAATAACCTCTGCTGAGCCTTCGCCTCTTTAACTTCTTCCATAATTTTCACGCACCTGAACTCACCTCCCACAGCTTTAGTTACACGCTTTGCCAGGACTTGGGTCCCAGCATGATTCAGGTGGAGCTTATTCAAAAGTATGAGTGTTTGTAACGCTGAGAACCTCTGCAATGTTTTTAATAAAAAGTGTCTTCTCTGACAAAGTTGGATCCAGGGTACTTAGTTATCTTAACTGTTTGAATCAATATTTAGATTTTGATATCAAAGCTGGAGAAAAACAAAAAGATGAAATCAGAAGACAAAACCGAAATTATGAAAACATTGCAAGCCTTAACCAAGAGTATAACCAAACTACAAGATGAACTTAAAGCAAGTGGAACAGGCTCTACTGCTCCCAAAACAGTAAAAACCAAAGCACAGGTATTGTACTTAATTTGATGCCTTTTTGAATGTCCTGTTATTAGATAACAAATTTTGATTTTCAAAAATGAAATAATGTTAACAGTTTAAAAAGTGGCAAATGAATTTTTTTCTCATGTCTTACAAGTTGAGAATTTCGATTTAAAGTATAACAATGTATTTGCAGGAGTGGGCTATTCAGCCTTTCCAGCCTGCTCTTCCATTCAATAAAATCATGGCTGATCTGTGATCTCACCTCCATTTTCCTGTCTGCAGATCGTAATCCTTGACTCTCTTGTCTGTTAAAACCCTATATAACTCTGTCTTGAATAGATTTTATTTAGCCTCCACTATCTTTGGGGGAAGAGAATTCCTTAAGGAACCCTGAAGGAAAAAAAAATCATGAGTCTTAAGATGGGAGATCTTTAGTCTCCCCACAAGAGGAAGCATACTCCTGGTATCCACCCTATCCAATCCCCTCAGGATCTTGTGTGTTTCGGGAAGATCATATCTTATTCTTCTAAACTCCAATGGGTACAGGCTTAATTTGTTAAACTTTTGCCACATGGAGTGAGTTGAATGAACTGTTTCAAAAGCTTTTGCATCCTTCCTTTAGTAAGGTGATCAAAACTGTTACAGAGCACTCCAGGTGTGGTTTCATAAGCCCTGTACAAATGCACTCAAACTTCCCTACTCTTATATCCATTTTCCTTGCAGTAAAAGACAGTATTACATTTGCCTTACTAATTATTTGTTCTACCTGTGTACTAACTTTCTGATTTATGCACCACCAATGAGCATCTTGCTTCATTTAAACAATGTACTGATTTTCCACTCTTTTTGTCATAATGGGCAAGTTCACATTTGCTCACATCGTAGTCCATCTGCCAACATCCTGCTCAGTCACTTAACCTGTCTATATCTGTTTACGCACTTTCTGCAATCTATCGACAACTTAACTTCCCTATCTATCTTGGTGTTATTGGTAAATTTAGCTGCTGTGCATTCTTATCTGACCCTCCCACCCCCACAATCCAAACAACTATTCATCATAATGTTCACTCCTTGAACGTTTCCACAGAACGTATAGAAAACCCACCAGAGAACATTGTCATGACGGTTCTGCCCAATGCTGAACGTTCTTTTTCACTAGAATGCCTACAGACAAATTGAATAACCAAAGTAAAGCATAATTAAATTTCAGATCCTGTTTCAAATTTTTCAGGTTTTGACTCATTTGCTACTTGATTTTGAATTCTGCATAGGTTAACAAGTGAGTTATAGTTTTGCAGTTAGATAGTTATTTGGATTTAAGCAAATACTGAATTTTTCTTTTATTAGATGCAAAGAGAGCTACTAGACACGGAGTTGGACTTGTATAAGAAAGTACAGGCTGGAGAAGATGTCACTGGACTTCGAAAAAAGTACAATGAGCTTCAGCTAGAGGTAGGAATAATAACAACAGTAATTCTAAGGTATTAAGAAATTGCATGCATTCATATTCATACTGATATATAAGTATGTTTCCAACCTGTACAACTCAAAAACTTCATTCATTTGGATTGGAGTTTGCATTTCTCAGTCTGATTGTGATTCTTATAAAGTTAGCCTTAAGGTTTTCTTTGAATAACACGAACACACATCCAGGTCGAGCTCATTTGCTTACTATTGTTTGACAATTTGCCTAAACGTTCGTATGTATTTGGTAAAATGTCTGGTCAAAGGAATACTGTGAAAGTTCATAGTTATATACACATCCAGTATTGTTGTTGCATGAAATTAGTATATGTAAACTACATGCTTCTGAAGCTAAATTAAAGTTGCTAAGATGAGGCTTCACAATGTTGTGCTTAACATTAATCCACAAGCTCTGCTTGCTTTGCTGGGTATAAAGTTGTTCGTTGCTGATGTCCTAATCACCGTGTCGGCACTCTCAAACCATGAATTGGTATAAAAGTAAAAACGGAGGAAACTTGCAGCAATAACCAAGATTAACAGGAGATGGCAGCATTGTCTGCCAGTTCCAAATGATCATTCGAAAACCATATAATGCTTGTTTTCTCTTCTTTTCTCTGCTGGTATGACTACAACATTTAAACATATGTAGTGTGAATCTGACAAACTGATACTGTTGTGAAATTTAACATCTGAGCACAATTTTGAAATGCTTGTGCCTCGTTAGTGATGCATAGACACAATAGAACTGCAACAAAAACAAAGTTGCTGGAGAAGCCCAGCAGGTCTGGCAGCATCTGTGAAGGAAAAAACAGAGTTACTGTTTCACGTCCTGTGACCCTTCGTCAGAACTGATCAGTTCTGAGGAAGTGTCACTGGACCTGAAACGTTAACTCTGTTTTTTTCCTTCACAGATGTTGCCAGACCTGCTGGGCTTTTCCAACAACTTTTTTTTTGTCCTTGATTTACAGCATCCGCAGTTCTTTTGGTTTTTATTACCATAGAACTGCATCCTTTATATTTCCAAATCTCTTCTATTTGCATTTGATGTAGATTGGATTGTTAACAGAGGATTTAGTTTTGCCCCAATAATCTGAACCAATTATTTTTTGATGATTTACCTATTTGTGCATGACTGATGATAAACTTTCGTTGAAGTGTCAGCCAAGTGTTTTCCTCCCACACAATGGTTAGCCTGAAGTTTCTTAATTACTGACTTTGTGCCTAAATTGAGGAAAAATGGGTATTAAGTTTTTTGGAAAATATGTCCAGTTTTGTGCATGCGTAAATAAATTCGGACAAATAATGTAAATGCAGCACTCCATTTGTGTTGATACGAAAAATAAGTGTTTTTTTCTGACACTTCTTGTTTAGCTAGCATAAGATTTTCTTGCTGCTCCAGTTATCCCCAGTTCTGAAACAAAAACTAAAATTACTAACGCAACCCCAGCTCTATTGAAGAGTCACCAAACTCATAACATTAACTCTGCTTTCTCCCGTAGCTGCTGCAAGACTTGCCGAGTTTCACCAGCAATTTCTGTTTTTGTTTTCGATATCCGGTACCTGCAGTTATTTGTTTAATTTTACCCTTTGGGTTCTGTTGCACTCCCAACAGTTCTGACATTTTTGGAGAGTTCCCTTGTTTACAAAACAGGATCTGAGTTTTTGTAATGCACTATAGTTTTCATAATCAACATTAAACTTGCTACAAGTGTCTTATGTAATGTGTTCACCTTCATGTTGCAGGCTGCCAAACGCGGGATCCTTTCCGCAGTTCGTGGAAGAGGACACCACTCGAGGGGACGAGGAGGACATCGAGGTCGCGGTAGAGGGCATCGCGGACGAGGCCGGGGTGCACCTTTTCATTCTGTAGTGGACCATCGCCCAAAATCATTGAATATATCTGGATTTTCAGAAAGTGACCAAGATGAAGTCCTGCCACATTTTGCAGTATGTACTTTTGGTATATTTTAATTCATTTCGCACGTTAGAAGTTATGCTGAGCCCAACAGACCTATCGATCTTATTCACTTGTCTATGTTTTTGATCATGACCAAAAGAGTATAGGATTACACAGTAGGATGTCAATCATGTCTTAATATCACATAAATAGAACACATACTCCCTACTGCACCAGTCAGATTTTTTTCCTCTTCCAGCTATCTTTGGTTGAGATTGGTAAGATGAGCGCTGGATTAAGGAGAACCTGTTAGGAACAAAGTATAGGTTATGAAGACTTGTTTTACAAAGCCTATTGACTGTGGTGATTTATCACAGCATCTCTAGATTTTTGTCTACATAACCAATGTAACAGCAGTGCTCAATTGAGCACACCGCTCTCTTCCTCACTTTCATTTAAGAGAATTTATTCTTATATTGGGTAATTTTCTTGCACGCAATATCATTTGCATATTATCCTGTGTGCAAGTTATTTTCCTTTTTTCTCAGAATCTGCTCTCTGGTCTTCTTCGATGCTGCTCTGAAATTAGGCACGCAGAATTTTTTGACGTATCTCGGCGCTTAATTTTTCTCTAGCAACCCACTTGAGAAGTAAAGTGTAACATGGAAAATTGTAAGCACTGACTGGTACAGCAAGCAATTAAAAAAAAAAGTGGCATTTGGCCTTTTGGCCTTGATTGCAAGGGGTTTGGAGAACAGAAATATTGAAGTCTTGCTACAATTGTACAGGGCTATGGTGAGACCATGCCTAGAATATTGTGTCGTTTTTATCTCTAATTGAGGAAAAATAAACTTAAATTGGAGGTGGTAGAGTGAAGGTTCACTAAATTCATCATTGGGACCTGGGAGGCGATTCCATGATGAGAGGCTGAGTGAGTTGGGCCTGTACTCTTTAGAGTTTAGAAAAAAAATCAAGGTACTCTTAAAGCTTGGAAAAACCCAAGATTCCGGTGGGTTTGATGGAATAGTCACGGAGAGTGTGTTTCTGCTGGTTGGGAAATATGAAAGACAGATGCAGTGCCAGGGTAAGGGGATGATCATTCTGGACTGTGATGTGGAGAAATTACTTCACTCAGATGTTAATCTTTGGAATTCTCCACCCCAGATGATGTGTGGGTGCTTCATCATTGAATGCATTTAAGGCTGGCTTAATAGATTTTTGGTGCTTCAGAGAGGTGACTGATATGTAGGAATTGGTGGGAAAATTGAGTTGAAGCCCAAGATCAGCCACGATTTCATTGAATGACAGCAGGCTTGATGGGCTATATGGTCTGTTCGTGCTCTTGCCAACTCTGGGTGGTGCCTCAGATTTACGTCTGCTATTGGGTGTTGTCTCACAAGATATTAATGTTCTATTAATGCCTCCTTCTACCCCACTTCTGGCAAAAATGTATCTGGTGCATTCAAACTTCTTTGGTAATTTAAAAATAACTTAGCATCAAGTACTAGATAACATGTCACACTAGATAGGTTGCCAAAGGTACATATTTCTGAAAAAGCTCTCATGAAAGGATCAAGAACTAAAGGGCACAGATCTAAAGTCATCTGCAAAAGAAGCAAATACACTGGGGCAAATTGTTTTTGAGTGTTATGTTCTGGAATATGCTGCCTAGAAGTTTGATGGAGGCAAGTTCAATCAATGTATTCAAGAAGGCGGTCAGTTATTGTGAATGGAAGCAATATAAGGCTTGCGTTGAAAAGACAGGTGAATGGCACTAAGTCAATACTCATTCAGAGTGCCAGTGTGGTCACGATGAATGAACTGGCCTCCTTCAACACTACAACAATTCTGTGGTTGATGCAAGAACAGGGATTTCAAGTGTGCCTCTTAGGGATTTTCCAGCTACATCAATGTAGATAGTGAATTAATTGCAAGAAAGTGTCACACGTATCTTGACTGTAATGCTCTTTGGTCTACTTTTGTTGGCACGCAGTTACAGATTCCTTATACAAAATAAGGAAAGGACATTTGAATCATCAAGCCCATTTGTGTGATCTGTAGTGCTCCATCTTTACTAGCGTTAATAGATCTCTGATATTCCAGAGGTGTTCTGCAGTAGCTGTTCTCAGTTATACAGAAACTGAACAATTGGTTTATAACAATGTATCCAGTATATTATTTTTCAGAATCATTTATTGTTAAAGCATGTTTCTTCAAAAGCATTAAAATTACTAATTGCCATTATATTACTACATCTATGCAACATAGAAATGTCCATGTTGTCTCTGACACCTGGTGCCACTCACGAAATTCAAGTTTTCCTTTCACACTTGGTGCCCACATGCACGCACATGTAAAAAACAACCTCCTCAATATGGATTTTGTGCGTAGATTAAGTTCCACCCCCACTCCATGTGTGTTGCCAGTTTGACACTATATCAATCCCTCTGAAGTTACTTCCATGAAATAATCCTTGGTGTCTTATTCCTTCCATGTTTATTCCTTCCATGTTTATTCCTTCCATGAGTGAGAAATATTGATTCAACAGTACTTCAAGTTTCTAACCAGCCCTGTTGAAAGGACTTGGCCTTAATTTTCAAAATTAATTCTCCCTCAAGAATTGGCTTTGTCAATGGAGGATAGCTTCAAGAATCGTGACTGAAATCCCTCTAGTTTGTTTTTGTTTTTCTTTTTGGTCTGTTGAGCCATATTCTATTCTATGAAATAGAATTTTTTTAAGATAACTTAGGACTCTCAAGTTTTGTGTCTCATACTTTGCCTTTTAAGGCTTCCTAGGCAGCATTCCTTGACATTCACTGGCATTATCATGACTGAATCCCCCCACAATCAACATCCTGGGTGTTATTATTGACCAGAAAATTAACTGGAGTAGCCATATAAATAGATTTTCTATATGGGTAAATAAACAGAAGAGGAAGTCAGAGAAAAAGAACCCACCTTTGAGTAACTCATGCCCTGACTCCCCCAAGCCTGTCCACCATATACAAGGTACAAGTTAGGAGTGTGATGGAATATGCCCCACTTGCCCAGGGTGAGCACTGCTCATGTAACAGTCGAAGAAGCTATTTAGGATAAAGCAGTCCATTTGATTGGCACATCTACAAACATTTACACTCCACCACCAAAGTAGAGTAACAGCAATAATTTGTATCTACAAGATGCACTATAGAAATTTATGAAGCCTCCGTAGACAGCCCTTCCTATAGTCACGATCACCATCATCTAGTAGAATAACGGCAGCAAATACATAGAAACACCATCTCCTGCAAGTTCCTCTCCAGACCATTCATCATCCAGACTTAGGAAATCTCATCGCTCCTTCAATGGAATTCCCTCCCTAATGGCATTGTGGATGTACTTAAAGCAAATTAACTGCAGCAGTTAAAGAAAGCGGCTCACCACCACCGTCTTGAGGGCAGCTAAGAGTTGGCAATAAATGCTGTTCCAGCTGATGGCAGCCTGATCCCATGAAATCATGAAAAAAGTATGTGGGTTCTGGAGCAGTACACCCGACGTCCCCATGTTTGACTGATAGGATGCCTAATTTTTAATCTGCAGTTGGGAGATAAATAAATGAAGCCACGCTGCTGTCTTGGGTAGTCTCTTTATGTAAATCCTGAACTTTTATGACTTCAAATGAGCCTCAACCAGGAAAATCAAGCAGTAAATATGTAGGGGCTCTTCTATCAAAGCCAACCTATTGAAGGGAGGCTGTTTTAAAACATTTGTACCAAGCTACGTATATTCAATGGTGGCATGAACTTGGTCGAAGTATATTTTCTGCATTATCACCTTGAGAAATTTTGATTGCAGAAAGTGAGTTGGTGCAATTTAAATTCTTACATTAGGGCATAAATAATAAATGTTAGTTAATTATATTTTACAAATTAAGTTTTTATGGTGTACTTAGTTGATCTCTTAGTGCTACCGCACGTAGCAAAAGTCACAAAGTGTAACAGATATAAACAGTGAAAGTAGAAGAAGCTGCATGGCAGTAAAGAGGGAAGAGAAAAGTGAAATTGATTTTTGTCTTGATCTAGTGGTGGGGGTTCACATGATAGGCGAGTGGCCTCCTGTGCATTAAACTTGTATGGTCTGATTGAATGCAGTCAAGAGGAGCACTTCCTTTATTTGATTTCACTCAGTTGCGTCACCCCAAGTTCTAGAATTCATTTCCTAAATCTCTCTCTCTCTCTATTTCCTGTCTAGCTTTAAAACTCTCCTTTTAATATCTACCATTTTGTCTGAGATTTTATTCCATCTGCCCTAACATATCCTTACGTGATTCACTGTCAAATTTTGCTTGATATTGCTCTTTTTGAAGTACCTTGGAGTTTTATACTATTTTCAAGTGCTATATAAATATAATCTGTCATTGTGGGAGCCTTCTGTGTCACCTTCATGATTTAAACATTTATGACAAGCTGCTGTCTGTTAAGAATTTCTTTTAAGAACCTGTATTGAATTTTGCAATCTCCAGTCAAATGCATTGCAGCCCACCCTTTCTAGCGGGTGATTTCTATAGCCTAGAGGCCAATACTTGTCAAAAAACCTAGTGTAAAGAAATTTGTGTCCATGTATCTTGTTTATGTCTGTGCTGAAATATGTCACTATTGCATAGTGTGTGCTAATTAGAGTCATGTTTTAGCCCCCTTTTTATTCAGTTGTGTTACTTTAAAATCTTATTCAAGTGCAGTATTTCACTGGACGCAGGTCTTATTTCAGTTTATGTCCAGCAGCATTTTTATTTCTCAGTGAATACATTTCCTTATTTAGTTATCTTGAATAAACAGGCTGAAAATGTGACTATAAAATCAGCATTTGAAATTTTAATAGTTAAAGACTTTATTTCTTTTTTTTAAGCAATTTGGTGAAATTGAGGATTGTCAGATTGATGACTGCTCTCGCCATGCAGTTATTACTTACAAGACAAGGGCAGAGGCAGAGGCTGTAAGTAAATGATTTTTAATAATGTAAATATAAGATTACTTTGTGTATGAAAGTGAGCTGCCAAATCTTCAAATGGATCACTCATTTTATGAAGAGATCTCAGACAGTGAAGGCACATGCATGGCAATTTAGTGAGCTCATCCAGTTTCACTATTACATATCCTCCCTTAGCATTGTGTAGTTCATTGTTTGTGATTGTTTGTAGCCATGAAACTTGCATAGTAAGGTATCATTTCAGTTTAGAAAAGATGGTGGAAATTATAAGCTTTATGTTTTCTAGGTTACTATCATGTATTCATTTAGATTCTCCAGAATCTGTTGCATGGCTAATATGTGTAAATGTGAACGTTTTTATCAGCGAGGTGTGAGTGTTTCTCTAGTAAAGTGGAGGGTGACTTTATTTTTGGCATACATTAGAATAATATGAGTGGTTTCTTGAGCCTTTGCACATCAATCATTTATTGCTCCATATGTATTATTTTATTGTTTGGTTGTGTGATAGGGTTGTGTTGTTATACAGGAATGCCAGCTTTGCTGGACAGAGTTCATTTGTAGTCTATTCAAGGTGTGGTCTGAGAAATACATAGGTGCATGCACAGCTGGGTCTCATCAAATTTACTACAAGCTTAAATTTGAAAATTCAAAATTTGTACCTGGGGAGTGTGATATTGCACTATTTTATGTAAAATTGTCATTAAAAGTGTACTTGTTTCTGCATTTCTCTCACTAGTCTTTATTGCATGACAAATCTTACGACTGTACCAGCAGTGCTGGTATGCTGCTAATATGTCAATACTGATTTGTTTTGCTTTTGTTTTAACTGAAGATTTTGGTTTTCACTCTGATTCAAATCAGTATTTTTACTCCAAATTTTTAATGTTCATTTTTTTGCCCTATATTTTCTAGTTGCAGTAAAATACCTCAAAATATAGTTTCAGGGTTATGTGCACTGACTTTGTAAATATGTGATCAGTATTCAGCTTCCTTATTGGGACGAAGGAGCCTCCAGTCTTTTTTTTCCATTTTTCTTGCTGTGAGGGTAACTCAAGTGGCATTCATGTATTTGAAAAATGTTGTGCATCAGCTTAATTTGATACGCAATCTTTTGCAAATTGGTTTAGTTCATTCTGATGTATCACTGTGGGAGGAGAGTGGGGCGCTAGCTTTTTAAAAATTCCTCTGCTTGATTAATTCAGTTTGTTCCCCGTAGTAGTGTCGCTTATTCAGAAATCGTGTTCATAATATCCGCTCACCTGCATTTTAAAAAAAAAAGTGTGTAGTTTTTCAGTCAATTAAACTACATGTCTGGTACCATCCTCGATGGCATAAAATTTTCTCCAGCTGGATACTGCGAAAATTGAAAACATTGTTTCCACTTTCTACTGTAAAGCAAATTTATGACTGAATCCATTGCTGCATCCGGCCACATTCTGATTACATCGGACAATGCAGAGCCTTAGCATCTTGTTTGTGTACAGCTGATTCTCCACTTTATATATTATACTCTACAAAACTGAACTGGACTGGTGATATAAATGCTGTGGCTGCAAGGGCATTCAGAGACTAGGAAGGATGGAGCAAGTAACTCCCTTCTGAACCCCGAGGCCGGTCCAACATCTACAAGGCACAAGTCAAGTGTGTGATGGAATACTCCCTACTTGTCTGGATGAATGAACAACAACATTGAAGAAGCTTGACACCATCCTGGACAATGCTGTCAATTCGATTGGCACCACATTGACCAATATTCACTCCCATCACTGCCAATGCTCAGTACAGAAATATGTGGCATCTACAAATAAATATTCAGGTCAGAATGCAAGAAATACCAAATGGAAAGAAAAAAGGTATTCAAGTTATTGGTAAGGTACCAAAATTCGCCTTACCAGCACAAAAGTATTTGTCCCCCCTTCTGATGCAGGCCATCTACCGATCTGTTCTCTTCCCATTTAGTTACCTTGGTGAATTTTCACTAAATGCATGTGTTTGTGGCCTTCAAGAGAAGAATGATATCAAGTTTTTTTTTGGAGTGGTGGAACAACATTAGTGGGTACTTTGCTTAAAAAAAGCTTTCCCAGTATTAAGCATGTTTTAATTTAGTTTTAAAACTCCATTCCAACAAACTATGACGTTGCTCAAAAGTCCATAACAAAGTATTCATGTGTGGCAGTCCAGTTTAAATATTTTTTCATGTTAAATTCATTTTTAGCAGTATTAAATCTGAGGCAGTTCATCACAGAAATGTGTCAAGGAAAATTTTCTGCCAAAAAATGCATTATGAAAATGTTAGCAGATTCTACCGGTTCATGGAAGATTTTACTTTTTTAGTAATATGTAAATAAAATCTAACAGGTACAGCAAACTTTGTTTTAACTGGCACTCTTGATAAACCAGCAAAAATTATACATCTGAAATACTGGAAATTTACTTTTCAGAGGTACCGGTTAATGAAAAGTTTGCTGAACATGCACAAAAACATCAGATTCATGATAAAAGCTTAAATTGGTACCAGAACAAGTGATTGCACCTAAAGGGAAACTCTGTCCGGAAGTATCCTTTCTTGAACTCGTGTTAAACAGTGCTGTGGATAATTGAAATAGCAATTGACTGGAAACTTCGGATAAGTTCAAGGACAACACTTTATCTTTCTAACAGACACTGTTCACATTTTACAACGTCAGACATTGGTCACACTTCCCATTTTGTTTCAGACAGAAGGTATTGATAATGTAGGATGAGCGCACTACTGCTTTCAGCATTTGACAGAAAATTGTAGGCTGATTATTGGTGTAGGATTTCCTTTGACACAATTGTCGGCATGATTTGACCAATTGTAACACTTGATTTTTTTTTTCCCTACTGGGCCACTGTAGGCTTTCGTCTTAATAGATACTTCATGCCTTGAACCCCCTTTACACCTCTCCTCTACTGCCCCGTCCCCTTTGTCCCCTCCACAAAAAAATGGAGGTAATTCTTTTCCTGGCTGTACTACTTGCTTTCTGCTGTAACTACTTGCACATCCTCTGGGTCTTGAATAATAATTTAGTATTGTTAATTTCTCTTTTATCAGACCATTATCACTTTTGCCATTAATCATCTCCTGTTCTGCACTTAATCACAGACTGTTCTTTCTCTTGCACCCTTTTCCCTGAATCTATTCCTCCTTGCAAGTAATTCATCTGTAACATTTGCAAATCTAAGGAGTAATCTCTGACCAGAAACATTAAAGCTCGCTTTCTTCCTCCATAATCATTGCATTTTGCAGGTTTTTTTCCTATTTTTTCTCTACAGGCTTTACAAATTTTGTTTTCTACTTAGACGCCCTTACAAGTCTTGGTCTTCAAATAGCAAGAAAGAATAAAATCATGATTTTCAAGAAATGTTTTACTTTTTTAGTTGCTTTGACGTTTGTTTTACTAGGTCAATAAATTGTAAATATGATTTCTTGATGTGGTTCCTTTGTCCTAGATTCAAAGTATGTTTTTACTTCCAACAGTTACTGCTATCTGGGTGTAGATTTTTTTTTCATAAATCTACTCAGATGTTATTACACACGTCCCTGGAGCAGGTCAGACTTGAACCTGGGTCTCCCACCTCAGAGCTAAGGACATTACCACAGTGTCATAATAGCCGTCCATATCCAGATATATAGACTTGAATCTACATATGCTCGTATTTAAGTACAAGTAGAAATTGAATACACAATGTTTTAAAAAAAAATGTTCTGGGATCTGAAGAACTTGGTATCAAGACGTTGAATAATGTTTATAAGCACTTTCCGAATCTCCTGCACGCCTTTCTGCTCCAGCTGAATTAATTCATGTATCCCAGTCTCTCCTCAGAACTAGTTTCTTATCCCTGATGAATCGCACTGCGTTCCCTGTTTGGTTTTGACGATGTAGGGCAATTAGCGATGGTAATAAATGTTGGCTCAGCTAGTGACACACATCCCACGAGCAAATAAAAAAATTAAAAATTCTACAGCCGGACAGTCAAACTACATAATATTAGCTGTGGACGAACAAATTTGTGATTACTTTTTAATTCTTAATGGCTTTGTTGCTATTCTACCAGGGACACTTACTTAAAATTCATTCGTGGGGTGTGAATGTCTTTGGCTAGGCTAACATTTATTGCCCATCACAACTTCCCTTTGGGCAATTAAAGAGCCACCTAAATTGCTGTGGGTCTGGAGTCACATGTAGGCCAGACAGGGTAAGGATGGTAGTTTCCTTACCTAAAGGACATTAGCAAAAAGACGTTTTTTTCCCAACAATCAACAACACTTTCATGGTAATCATTCAATACTTCATTTCAGATGTTTATTGATTTCAAATTCAATCATCTGCTGTGGCAGGATTTGAACACTGGTCCCTGTAACATTACTTGGTCTCTGAGTGAATAGTTTAGCATTAACACCACTGGGCCATTGACTCCCATGAATATAAAATACAACTTCTAGCCTAATATTACTGAACAGAATTACAAATTTATCAGAAGTAGGTACATTGATTACCACAAAGATAAGAATAGGATATTCCTAACTTTTGGATCACCTTTCTGCTTTCTGTAATAAATAGCTCAATATTTTTGTTTCCTTCAGTGGGTCCCTCTCTGTGTCTGCATATTGGATGGAGGAAGTGCACTTTTTGTCTCTTGGAAATTTCTCTTTCCTTTAGCATATTTTGGTTTAAAAACCTCGATGTTCTTTATAAATGTCAAAGTGAGTTTGAAAAAAAGGGGAATAGAATGCCTTTGCCTACTTAGTTTGGCTTCTAAAATATCAACTGCTTTCTCCAGGAATTTTTTTATCAGCATTTAGTTTTAGTGGCAAATTAGTTGTATTTGCATTGTAATTCTCTAGATGGTTAGAGTATTAAACAATTTGTTATAGTTTGTATTGTACAGTATGCTTTGCATGTTCAATCGATATGCGATTTACTAAGACTGTCCTTGTTTCTGGTACTTTGGAGATCCTGATTAACTTGGAATATTTATTCCAAGAACTTGTTATATAACCTGTGCAATTGAAAATTATTCATCTTGCATTTTGAAGTAGTTTTTGTTGAGGGTATGACTTTTCTTTGTTCAATGTGGATTTTAGGCTGCTTTACATGGAATTCGCTTCAAAGGACAGGACCTTCAACTTGCATGGTTTAAGCCTGGAGCTGCCACCGCAACTACTGAACCTGAGGATGTGGAGGCAGATGAAGAGGAGGTACATATTCTACTGGAATAATTCTGCTTTCACTTTTAGAGTCAATGTTGTGAATTTGCTGTTTGATTATGTTTGGTGAGGATAAAATGCAAGTAGAATTCAGGACAGCTCTACGTGACAGTACTTGCACATTCCCAGCTGACACTTGTTCTTGTTTCGGACCTTTTTGCAGCAATTTACATTAGCAGCTAGCTTGCTGGAGTGAGCGTTTTGCTCAGAAAACGGAATTGGGTTAGATTTTCACAGAATGGCCATCTCGTGCAGATTTTACAAAAGCATGGAGCTCTGCATGAGCTGTGCAAGGGATCTCATCAGAGGAGATTCTGCTCAGATCTCCCTCAAAAATACAGAGCCGTATTCCATTCTGATAGTACATTCATAGTGCATTGGACCTGATTTTTGAAAATGAGTTAGGCCAAGTTGGGGGAACATTTAGGAGACAGTGTCTTTGTATCGGAGACAGTAAGGACCGCAGATGCTGGAAGCTAGAGTCAATAAATGTGGAGCTGGAAAACCATGGCATGTCAGTCAGCATCTGAGGAGCAGGAATGTCAACGTTTCAAGTTGATCCCTAAGGGTATTGGTCTGAAATGTTAACTTCCCTGCTCCTCAGATACTGTGGTCATTGTATCATAAGGTTCAGAATGATGATGGAAAATTTACACGACTAGTATTCCAGTCTGTATTTGGATAATTGATGTCCCTTTTTATAACTACTCTATAATGTTGGCAATTCAATATAATTTTCCTGTACATTTGCCGCTCTACATCCTTTCCACTGTTTGGTAGTCTGTAGACTGCACAGAGAAACATATTTGTACCCTTTTTATTCCATTGCTCTAGCCAAATTGATTCTGTTCCTGAGCCTGAGACATTTTCCTTGGGCTGAAAGTGGCAAGTAACATTTGTGTCTCAAATAACCATCACTGCTTAGACGCAATCTAACCTGCACCCCATGACAATCAATGATGTTAGCATCATTGAATCACCCACTGTGAACATCCTGGGTGGGGTTAACATTGACCAGAAACTGAACTGGACTTACCATACAAGTGCAGTGGCTATAAGAGCAGGTCAGAGGCTAAGAATACTGCAGTGAGTAACTCATCACCTGACTCCCAAAGCCAATGCACCATCTACAAGGCACATCGCAAAAGTATGATGGAATATTCCCTATTTGATTGAGTGCAGCTGCAACAACCCTCAAGAAGCTTTATACTATTCAGGACAAAGCAGCCTGTTTGGTTGGCACCACATTGTTAAACATTCAATTACTCCACCACCAAGGTTCAGTAGCAGCTGTGTGTACTAGCTATAAGATGCACTGCAGAGATTTGCTGAAGATCTTTAGATAGCACCTTTCAAACCCATGACCCATTTCATCCAGAACAACCTGGACAGCAGATACATGGGAATACCACCACCTGCATGTTACTCTTCAAGTCATTCCCCGTCTTGTCTTGGAAATATATTGCTGTAGCTGGGTGAAAACCTTGGAACTCCCCCCCCGGCCCGGCAGACATTGCGGGTTGACCTACAGCACATGGGTTGCAGCAGTTCCTGAAGGCAGCTCACCACTGCCTTCTCACGGACAGCTAGACACACACAAAAGGTGCTGGCCCAGCCAGAGATGCCCAGATCCCATGAGTGAATGAAAACAAAATGTCATGCAACAATCCAGAGTAAACAGTTGGTAGAGGAAAATAAACAGAAATTGCTGGTGAACCTCAGCAGGTCTGGCAGCATCTGAGAAGAAAGAAGAGTAACGTTTCGAGTCCGGTGACTGATGAGTCACCAAACTTGAATCGTTAACTGTGCTTTCTTCTCACAGATGCTGCTACACCTTCTGAGTTTCACCAGCAATTTCTATTTCAGAGCTCCAGCATCTTTGTTTTATTTCAATTGGTGGAAAGCTGGCTTGAATACGGCAAGAACAGAGTTGAGCAGGATTGACTGGATTAAGAAATTGGCGCGAAAAGCAGTAGCTGAACAATGAGCAACCTTCAAAGAACTAATGGTTCAGGCACAGTTGAAGTATATTCTGTCTAATGGAAAAGGTAGGGCAAACAAATTCAGAATTCTCTGGATGGCAGAGAATGGAGAAACGAATGTTGGAAAGAAAATGTTTGCTTTTCGCATGTGTAAGGCAGAAAATACAATTGAGAACCAGTTTTGAGTTCGAGGGAGTAACTGCAAAATCGGGTTTTTCCCATTAAATTGGTGTCTTTCTTCTTGGAAACTGCTCCACCTAATCCCATTGCTTTACTGTTTGCTGGTTGTAAAGAAAAATCAAATATTCCTTTAATTATTTTTCTAAGTTTTAAATTTGTGTTCACCTGTCTTTGTTAACCCACAAAAATTACTGTTATATTCCTCTATATTTTGAACAACGTTATCAGGTTAATTCTTGAACACCTCATCTTTTGCAGGGCGAGAAACTAGCTTCACTTTTCTGTTAGTAACGATGACCCTTCGTCCCTGATAACATGCTAATTTTTTTCCCCTTAATTTGTATTCTTTCTAAATGAATTGTGTCAGCCATCACCTTACCGTAAGGCATAGGTGAAGAAGTAGACCTTTTTAAGCCCATTGAGTCTGCTTCACCATTCAGTTAAACCATGGCTGATTTGATAATCCTGAAATTCACTTTACTATCTTTCCCACATGACCTAGCATGGACAGCCTTCTCTGGTTTAAAAAAAATCCACAATATCCCTCTTCCCTAAATAGCTCTCCGTCCATTGATGTACAACAAATAGAACTTGTATTCCATGTTATCTTTCAATATCTCACCATTTGTATCCTGTCTTCCTTAAATAACCTTCTCAATGTTCAGGTTTTACATCTGCATCCTTAGACATGTTATTCATTTTCTCCTCTGGCTGTCTACTCTGTCAAGCTTTCAGTCACCTTTTTCCCAAATCATCAGCATAGTTCAGTATCTACTGTTGAATTTTTTTTTCCCTCTGCCAACTACTTTAGGAAATTTTTCTCTCCCCTTCACTATTCAAGTATTTAGTATGTGCTGGCCTGACTGTTTTGTTTAATTTTTTCCACCCCTCCCACCTGTGTTGCGTATGTGAATGACCCTCTCCTCTCATCTGCTGATGAGTGAATGAGGGACAAGACAAGTTGAAAGACAAGCACACAGTAGAGAAATACAGTCTCCAGAGAAACTTGGGAGAAGTGTGACAGAGAAGTGCACAGCAATAGTTTTTATATTGGACCTTTCAAATGCAGCAAAGCTCCAACACAGTAAAATTTATGAAGGTGTTTTAACAGGACTATTATCCGTAATAAAAAAAAAAATTGCCCTACAGAAAGAGATATTAGAGCAGTTGATCAAAAACTTGGTTGGAGAGTTGGGAGTTAAAGAACACTGTAACCAAGGACAGAAGGTAGACGGCACAGTTACGAAGATGTTAAAATGTTACAAGCATTCAAGAAGAGGATAAAAGGGAAGACAAAAATATAAAGAGGCAAGCAAAGGACTACTTTGAGCTCGTATTTTAATTTTGGACAAAGTGTAGCAATCCCTGGCTGCAGTGCAGGGTGACATCAGCGCTGTGGATTCATTTTCTGTACCAGCTGAGGTTACCATGAAGGACTCTCCTTCTCAACTTCTCTGCTTTCATGAGACATTGTGACCCTCAGGTTAAGACACTACCAGTCATCTCTGTTTAATGAGAAAGCATTCCAATGGTCCAGTAGGACTTTAGTGATTTTTATTGTCTGTCCGTGACTCCTCTGCAGCCTTTAACATGTTTGACTATGTCATATCTTTTAGCATTTGTACTCCGTTCTCTATCTTAATGGGGCTACCCTCACTTGGTTCCACTCTTAACTTGTCCAGCGATCAGCAGAGACTGTCTAGATCAATGTTTTTTCTTTTTGTGCTGTCATTATGGGAAGGTTCATTCTTGCCACCACACCCTTGCCTTCCATACACTGTCCCTAGGCAATATCATCCATAGATGTGGGATCAATTTCTACACGCCTCAATGACATTCACTTCTACTTCTCCTTCATCTTTCAATCACTACCTTGTTGTGAAACTGTTGTCACGTTTGACTCTGACCATAAGGGAGTTTATCTTTTGAATTCCCCAATTAGCTCAAGTTTTGCAACAGCTCCTTGGTGTCATATGGAATTGATTATTACTTGATGTTGCTAGCTATTGTCAGCTTAACGACATACCACCTTTTAGACTGTTTCCTCTTGGTTTAATTCATATGGCGCATAAGAATCCAAGAATATATTTCATGTATTTAAGTAATTTCATTAACTAACACTTACCATGACGTTAAGTCAGGTAAAAACCTTATTCGACTTAAAATGGGGTTTTACCATTCAGCAATATTAAATTCAGGAAGAACGAAAGCAAGTTTTAGAGATGGTTTTGCTGATAGCTTCTTTGAAACTAAATTAGCAAATCACATTATGATCTTTGCAAAGAAAATCTATTGCATCAAGTAGACCAAGCAAGCTTCAGACTTCAACAAATTCTATATTAACAAACCACTTGTTTTTTGCAGGATCTAATTGAAATGTCAACCATCTGTCAGATGGTTCAATATTTGGCCATATTCCTTTTTAAATGAAGTGAGCATAACCTTTGCAAAACACAGTACTGTTGCACAAGATAATGAATTATTTAAAAAAACCTTTGAATCAGAGTGCAGACAATTACTTCAATTTAGTCTGAGCTTGTGTGTTTAATGTAGTTGTGTGCCTGGCATATGAACTGTTCAACTTTTTTTTTCCTTATTCACTAACACAATGTGGCCATCTCTGGCTAGGCCAGTATTTGTTGCCCATCCCTAATTGCCCAGAGGGCAGTTAAGAATCAATGGAATTTGTGTGGTTTTATAAACCATAACTGTTCTTTTGTAGCAAAGGCCTCAAGTTGGCAAACTGTGGTGTTTGATTTTCATGTGCAGGTCAGTTTTCATTGCCTTTGTTGCTTTGGAAATCACATACCACCAATATCTCATAGCTGAAACACCAATGCCTCATAGAGTTTTTAGTAGTCACGTGGGAGTATAGGCAGTTGTGGAGTTCAGGATTTTGACCCAGGAACAACTATGTGTGCCAAGTCAGTATGGTTTGATATTTTGAGGGAACCTTCAAAGGGATTGTAAATAAAAAATTTGGCATGCTCCTGGCATGTGCTTTCTCATTGGAGATTTGAAAAGAAGTCTTAATATATTTGAAAAAAGTCTTAATATACATGAATTACATCATACATATCAGTTATTGTTGAAGTTCATCAGTATGTACCGCTTCTAAGTGAAATTCACTTTATTTTAATGGAAGAATTTCTACTCAGTTTCAGGAAGAGCCTTTGATTGATGACTTATTGCTCCAAGATGATGATGATGAAGAAGATGATAACGAACCACGTTCATGGCGAAGATGATCAAAGAGCAACCAATGTTTACTTACAGAAAGCTATGCTGTCTGCATTCTAAATCATAATGTGATTTTTTTAAAAAGAAAAACTAATGTACTAAAGATTGTAGTGAATTACCTATAATAGTTCAGGAGCACTGTTTGGGGTAGAGTGTTAGCAACTCATTACAGAGCTACTGTACCCATTTGGAAGAAATGAAATGAAATTACGGCTTTAGTTGCAGCAGGAGGCATGTATGTAATTCATTTTTTAAAAATTCATTTTGTGAAACTTGGTATACAGATGTTCATTGAACTTAGCCTAACAAAGATACCAAGACTTTATCTGTAATTTACTGATTTGGTCATATGATCTGACCAAACTAAGAACATTTCAATGTAACTACTATAATTGGTTCCATGTTGTTATGGAATGAAAGTTGACATTGAATCTCTATGGATGTTTTGAAAAACTGAGACATTCTAAGCTTTGTGATAAAGCAGAGAATTTGGGAAGTACTGAAAAGTGCTCTTGTTTGTTAAAAGTTATGTATACCTTTATTTTGCATAGTTTGTTTTAGGCTTTACTATGTATTAGCCTTGGTTTTCTTCTGTTGGATTTGTGTATGTATTTTACTTGAGGGTTGATTTTAAACATTCATTGTACAACAGCTCTGTCAAAAGTCTTTTTGACTTCTGGCACATGTTTAAAAAAAATAAAGAAATGGAATGGTCTAATATATATAAAAAAGAAAAAAAAGTATGTAATATAAAAGAGAATTGGTTACATGTAAAAACACAGACCATTCCAAATCCCCACCAAAATCAGTCACAAAAGAGCTTTGACCAATTCAATTTCCATTAACTTAAAAAGTTTCCTTTGCAGCAAAGGGGTGATGGTAAGTACAGTTGTACTGCTTAATGAACATTGTCTTTTGTTGTTTTTTGGAACTTCAATGTGTTCTAAGATTTGGCTAACTTTGTTATTCAGCCAGTAGCAATAACTTTGACGTTAGAGTAGCAATGATTGTCAACGATTCGTGTTAACAAACGTAGTGGGAGAAACTTATCAGCATTCCTGTATTGGAACAATTTGTTGGATTTCTTAATTTTATTTGTTAGTTGTTTCACTTGGTTCACTGTGTGGTTACCTGCTGCAGTGAACAGGTTTTCGTTTGTCATGGCGACACACGTCTTGCTTTTGCAAATATTTCCAAGAAATAGAATCATTGAATCCCTACGGTACAGAAAGAGGCCATTTAGCCCACTGAGTTTGCACCAACTCTCTGAAAAGCATCCTACCCAGACCCACCCCCTCTTCCCATCCCCATAAACCCCGCATGGAATTTTTACCATAGCTAACCCACCTAACCTGCACATCTGTGAACACTACAGGGCAATTTTTAAATATGGCCAATCCACTTAACCTGCATTTGTTTTGACTTTGGGAGGAAGCTAGTGGAAACCCATGCAGATACAGGAAGAACATGCAAACTCCACCCAGTCGCCCAAGGCTGGAATTGAACCCAGGTCTCTGGCGTTGTGATATCATAGTGCTAACCACAGTGCCACAGACATTAAGCTTGCATGTTTAAAATTCCTATCTAAGAGGTGCTCGGTAAAGTGAGAGAGATGTGTCATATATGGTCCAGGACTTAGATATAGTAAAAATATAAAATACTGAAAATACCCAGCATTTTGACAGATACTGTTTTCAGAAGCATTATATCAGGTTCATTTAAGGGAAGAATGTTGTCTAGTGGTGATCGTGCCATAAATATGGATAGAAACACAAAAAAAAAGTTACGGTTATTTTGTGTATTATTGTAGTGTTGTCACTGTTACTGTTTAGGAAACACTGATTATATAAATGCTTTGTGTCACAAAAATACACAACCAATTGAGTGGTTTGGGGAAATTCTAACCTGTTTCCAATATCTATTCTTTATTTCATTGACTTCCCACTGTGGATGTTTTAATGATGACTGCTTTGCTCTGTCACTCTAACTTCGTAACTATTATTTGTCTATGTCCATTAGATAACTTCAAGGAGTCTTGGGCCCTACCTCTTGCTGAGGAACCTTTGTGCTTGCTTGAGTATTTGGTGCAGTTGTCCACAATGAATGACTTTCAAAATAAAGTGCTGCGTGAAGTCTTGCAGAGGTTACCAGTACCTTGAAATAACCGATTATTCTATATGGAAAGTAATTGCAATAGATCTTTAAATAAGCAGGTTGCTGTCTCAGCCATTATAAGACATGGTATGCTGCATTGGCCTGACTTTTCCAATCTGCAAAAATTGCTTTCCTGTTCTAACCATTGCATCTTAGCAAGGATAAAAGAATTCATCAAGTTGTAATCAAAAAAGTGGATGCTTGGAACCACAAATTACTATACTCGCTACTGTTTCCCAGACAACTACAGGGTAGCCAACAAACATTTTTGAATACATCGACGTCGCTCAGGAACTCAGGAGGGAAAACCTCTGCTTTCACAATGTGAACATTACAAGCAAGCCCGCAATTTTATTGCGAATCCATAGTTGCATTTGAAAAGGTGGTGGTGAACTTTTGATAACTGACCTGCTCGGTCATTTCAAAGACCAGTTAAGAGTGAATCATGTCACTATGGTTCTAGTATTGCATGTAGACTAGAATAGGTAAGGGCAGCAGGAGCAAGGCCGGCTTTCATTCAACTGCTATCACTAAGGTTTCTCTTTGCCATGACGACTAAAATTGGTTGCTCTCAGGTACATGTATTTCCCCTGTAACGCAATAGTTGTGCTCTTGTATGACGTTGTGCAATAGAAAATCGCGTTATAGGGAAATCACTATAGAAACTCGCTATATTGTACAGCAGAAAGTTTGCATTATCCAAACAGTGTCAACTATTAATCAATCACGTTACAGCCAACATACATTAACGAAGCACGCGTTATTGCAGAAATACTTGTTTTTTTTCTTTGCGAAAAAGTGTTAAGAAAAGATGTGTGAAGCTATGCAAATAGAAAAATAGATCCAACAACTACAAGAAGCTTTTTGCTATATTTTTATGAAGAACGATGGGAACTTGAAAATAGAAACAAAGCTGTTATGGATTAAAATGACTTGGCCATTGTTACAGGGTGAATCATCGTAAAGGATTGGAAAGTGGCTAGTGATGACATGAATTTATTCAGTGCATAGTTGATAGCCATGAACCAACAATATTCCAATATAGATTTACAGTCTGTGCTGTAGAGTTGAGTTTTGCTTGAGAGAGAAAATAAGTTGAGGTTCCAGTTCTTGTTATCCAGTGATTACGGTCAGAAATGCTAAGAGAATGCTTGTGATTGTAAGGGAAGTAATTGGAATTCAAACATTGGTATGACCTGGCATGCAGATACTTGTGCAGTGATGCTTGATCCAATGAAGTCTTGTATAAAATCATGCTATTTTGGTCTCTGTATAGTAAATTGTATTTGTTTCTGCAATGGGTCCAAGATTTGCTGTACTGTAAAGTTGCTAGAATTTAAGGAAAGTGACAAGTCGGCATAAGTAGATTGGAACTAGATATCAGAAGAGATCACCTGTTCCTTTTTGTGCTCGTTTTATTGCTTGACCTTTATCTCAAACTCTTTTTGATTCCTTTACTAGGAAAAGAAACTTTTGTCTTTTGTCTTTTATTTTAGGGATCAATTCTTGCCCTCCCCCTCTACTGGTTCCCTTGGACCCCAGATTAAAACGTGCCTCAAATAATTCCTCAGCAGTCAGTTTGAAGATACTCATAGTATTTCTTTTGCACAAGGAGACATAAGGTAGTTTTTTTACAGTATGTGTCAACTAATCATTTTTTGTGTTCCTTCTCCCCATTCAAGAGATTATATACAAACATGAGTTGACTGCCTTTTTAATTTTTGCAGGTGTATTTTATGCTTCACGAAATTTAGATGAAATGTTCAGATGGTGACAGGAATCTGAGACTGAATGCCAGTGCTAACTTGTTTCCAGGATAGGTAAGAGTTATATTGCTAAAATTAAAACATTTATTTGGCTTTCCTCTTGGTGAGTCAGTATGAGAGAGTATGAATGAAACAGCTTCTCCTCTGTGGGTGTTTATTCTTTGTTCTATTTGTCCTGCTGACCTTTCCATGAAAATTTAGTTTTAATACTTGATGCACAATAGCACTGTAAAGTTTTACTCACTTTTACGCTGATAGAGTTTTTTGTGAACTTGACTAATCTGGATGACGTCGAGATTGCTTTTGAATTCTGATCTTGGTTAAGGGTCACGATTACCAGACCCCAATTTGCACTTAGCCTTGGCCTGCGTTTGCTGCGTTGCGGTCTTGTTTGTCTTCAGAGATAGTTATAGTACCACCAATATATATATATAGATATAAATTAGAAATGGGCAATACAAAATGGCATATAATTGACATATTTTAAGTAGTCATGTACCTACAAATGTGTTTTGTCGACTTATTCTCTTAAACTGATTCCTCGAGCATTGACCTTTTACAATTTGATGGCTCGGCGGTTAACACTGCTACCTCACAGCGCTGGGAACCCGGGTTCAATTCCACTCTTGGGTGACTGTGAGGAGTTTGCACGTTCTCCCTGTGTCTGCGTGGGTTTCCTCCGGGTGCTCTGGTTCCCTCCCACACTCCAAAGATGTGCAGGCTAGGTGGATTGGCATGCTAAATTGCCTTGTGTTCAGGGATGTGTAGATTAGGTGGGTTATAGGGTGATGGGTCTGGGTGGGATGCTGTGAGGGCTGGTGTGGACTTGTTGGGCCGAAGGGCCTGTTTCCACACTGTAGGGATTCAATGATTTTATTCTACTTAAGACCATTAGACTTTTCGTCTCTCTGGTTGGTCCCAGCTTTTAAAAACAGAATAAACAATCTCTGAAGTGATTGTTTTGCTAAATACTATTTCTATTTCTTCTGAAAATTTGATTTTATCAGCCTTGGTTACTTTTCGAGGCAGTCTATTCCACACTAATCTGTTAAATCTAATTTGTTGATACCGTTTGTGTTTGAACTTGATTCCACATCATCTAATTTTCATTTGCTATTTGTTTATCTGTTGAAGCCCTGAAAGAGATGTCTGTTGGAATAAGGTGATCTCTCCAGGCACCAATACTCTTCTGTAATCAAACTCTGCTCAGGTATCTGATGCTAGATATTAGAGAGACACAACACCTTAGGTGGAGGGGCAGAGGATAAAGGTGAAGGAATAAAAGGAGGAGAGCAAGAATGGTGAACTTGTTGAAATTAATCACCGGCATATATGAATTGCAGTCAGAACCCCTTTGTGAGCAAGAAGAGGCATGAATTATCCTACACTAAAATACTTTGTTGATTTAAAAAATAACAGTGCATCCCTGATACAGCCTGACTTCCCTTTACCAATTACATCGGTGAGCACCAACAGAGTTCAAAAACACAGTTCCCATTCCCACCCTTAAAGTTTGCCGGGATTCCTGTCACTCAAATCTGGACCAGGTTGCAACCGCTGCTTTTCTAAATGCATTCTCCATCAAACCATGTGGCATTGGGCCCAATCTGTGCCTGAAGTATAAAGAGGATAAATGAACAAAAGTCAAGATGCTAAAAAGAATTCAGATACTTGGTACAATTGCTTTCATTTTTCAAATTTACTGATCAGTTGAGTCAAATGCTACGTAATTTCGATGTAATTCTAAAACTTTGCTTCGACAGGACGGTTTCCTAAATTTCAAAAGCAGGCATCAAGAAAAAGTCACAGAAACCGGGCAGCCTGAATCAACAAAACTCACTCAAAGATAAATGTGCATTCTTTATACAAGCATTGCAGAATAGGAACATTATATCAAATTGCCATGAAAAAACATGAATGAGCAGATGATTTTCCTAGCATCTGGTTTAAAATCGTTCAAGTGAAGGAACTGATGGTTTTATGAATGGTATAATAAATTTTGAGCATCTGTAGAAGGTACAAGCCAAATTCAGATGTACAAGGGAACAGGGATCAGAGTGGGAACGTATACTTAAAACGGAGAGAATATTTTGTGTAGAGCGTATGCATTAGCATAGACCAACTGAGTTTTCTGTTTCCATGCATTTTATGCAAAACTTGACTGTGCAGCAATCCCTGTTATTTGGATGTTGGTCATGCTTTAATAGTACCATTTTCGGAGAATATTTTCTTGTGGAACATGCACAGTCCCAGCCAGCGTCTCTGCAATTTGTAAAATCCATGGCAGCTAAAGATAGTTCATACCCTTATGCTGTTTATTTTTCAATCGAAGTGATCAGTTTAGGTCAAATGGCATATAGTTTGTACAACTGTCTCTGATATGTTCTCTTGTACATTTCAGTTTGGCTTGTATCTTTGCATCGGTGCCATTTATTAGGTGCCATTATATAGGTGAGGCATGGTGGCTCAGTGGTTAGCACTGTGTTGCCTCACAGCGCCAGGGACACTGGTTTGGTTCCACCCTCAGGCAACTATCTGTGTGGAGTTAGCACATTCTCCCCGTGACTGCGTGGGTTTCCTCCGGGTGCTCCGGTTTCCTCCCACAGCCCAAAGTTGTGCAGGCTAGGTAGATTGGTCATGCTAAACTGCCCGTAGTGTTTAGGGATGTGTAGATTATGGGGTGCTCTGAGGGTTCGTGTGGATTTGTTGGGTCAAAGGGCCTCTTTCCACACTGTAGGGATTCTATTCTGTTATAGCTTTTTTACATCATACTCTTATTTTTCTCCTCCGTGAAATGGTGGATCATGGAGTTGTATAGCACATAAACAGGCCCTTAGGCCCAACTTATCCATGCCAACCAGGTTTCCTAAACCAAACTAGTCCCATTTTCCTGCATTTGGCCCATATTCCTATAAACCTTTCCTATCCATGTACCTGCCCAAATGTCTTAAATGTTATTGTACCCGCCTCTTAAGCTGAATTACTCTGGTACACTTGTGTTTGGAGGCTTTATTTTTGTCAAGTGAAAGCTACAGTGTTTTACGTAAGCCTATAGCAGTCCATGTTTTATATAACCTCGTTACTTTTTAATGAGTTCTACATTTAGTTTGTAGTGTCTTTTACTTTATATTCCATAGGGAGCAAATTTATAAACTTGTACCTAGTGATAATTTTCAGTTTGTATGTTAATGCCAGATCCTCCAGGTATTTCTTCAGTGACTAAGTGTCACTTTTCCATTGTTTAGAGTTAGCTTAGATAGAGGTGATGTTAATTGGATTGTTGCACTCCTCCCTTGGATTTTGGGAAATCTCTTTATGAGCTCTTTGCCATTGCTCAAGTCATTTATCCAACAGTATTCACTGCATTTAATCCGTGACTCTGGCTGCAAGACTTCAGCCCCTGTTGTGTACGATATGTTTGGTTGAGTGCTCCCAGCATCTCCTGTCACATCACATTTGCATAAAAGAGGACGGATAACCACATTTGAGCAAAGAAATGAAAATGCTCAGCACCAAACCTGTCAGCTTTGTTCGTAAGTTAATTGTGAAAAATTTGATTTGCTTTGTTTTCAGTCTTTGTTATGACAACGCCCTTTACGCTTGCTTTGGTTTGTGCTGTCTTGCATGTAGCTTTTAAAGAGAAGACACCTATTTTACCCCCATACCCACCCAGGGGATTGCTTACTTCAGTCTAACTAACTCTTAGTACTGGTTCATCTCTGGCTAAATTAGGCTTATGTGGTAGACCCATGCACAATTAAAATTCACGAAAATTTGCACATTTACACTCCTGTTTGGGTAACTCACTGTTTTGGAGACTAAATTTATTAATCAAAACATTTAGTGGTTAATAATCACAATCTTCAAATTGATTTTGTAAAACACTCATTTGAAAATAGCAGGATTGCGATGATTTGACAGAGTTTTGAACGTCCGTATTATTTACATGACTGAAATAGACTTTTTGTATTGGAGTCTGGTGTCATCTCTAAATTTATAAGGAGCAAATGTTACTTTTTGTTCTGACACATTCTACGTGGTTCTGCATCATTCAGTTTTAAGATTTAATGGCAGTCATTTAGTAGTAAAATTGGATTAAATGATCTGCAGTTAAATTCATGGATCAAGATATTTATGATCTTTTTGATGTTATTTCTGATTGAACTATAAATATCATTGTGTGTTTAATTACAGATAGGTGAATTGTAACTTTTAACTTTTACACAAATTCACCAGCAGTTGAAGGAAAGTGCATATGTGCAAATTTGTTGGATTCATAATTACAACGAAATGTTGCAATATAATTACTAGTTCCCATTTTCCAACTTGCTGTCTGATTTTTTTTTCAGCTATTATATTAAGCCTTGTTGCATTAACTTGGTTAGCATAAGCCAGCATATTATATAAGATGGCTTTCATAGGGTCACTGGGTTATAAGTGTTGGACTTGGGGCTCCAGCTTCTTGAAAATATGAGTACTCCACTCACGTTTGAGTATTAGTATAGGAATGTAAATTGGGTTACCTAAATATGTACATGTTTTCACAAATTTTGAGATTATCTGGCTAGAGTTTTGCATTGGTAGCTAGTGGTAGGTGGTACATAATCAACTTTTATTGCTTTATGTAGCAAACTTTCTTTAAATTATGGTAATCATTTAATTATTCGTGCACCAAGGGTTTGGCGGATAACATCAGAAGTTTGTTTCTCTTCAAATTTCTTTGGTTTCTTGAGAAGTGCCTCTTCCTGCTTATTTGTTTGATTGTTTGTCGTTGCCATGATAACGTGATAGGTGAGTGTCAACAATGTGATCCCCCCACCATTTTATCACTAAAATTTGACTTTTCTATTACTGAGACAAAATACTGGATTAATGCATAGGTTTATGGGAGCCCATACCCAAGAAAGCTTGCAAATACGGGGGAATTGGCAGACCTCTTCACAACATAAAAATTGCACACGGGCAATTTGACCAGGACAACCTTTAATCTTCTGTGTCTTGAAAAGGAGCTGGTTTCACTCATTTGCAAGGATCTTATTAACATTGGCACATGTGGATGTAGTTGTATTGTGGTCATGTTACTGGACTACAATCCAGAGCTGAGCTAGTCCCACATGACAGGAGGAGAATTTAAATTCTGTTATTTTAAATAAAAATGACATTTAAAAACCTTTTGTCAGTAGTGGGAACCATGATACTACCAGATTGCCATAAAAAGCAGAGAAAGTTCAATATCCTGTAGGGAAGAAAAACTGTCACCTTTGCGAAGGGAAAAACAGAGTTAACATTTTGGGTCCGGTGATCCTTCTTCAATTCCAGCAACTTTGTTTTTGTTCCTGATTTTCAGTATCCGCAGTTTTTTCGGTCTTTGTCGCCTTTCCCTGCTCTGGCCCATGCATAGCTTCCAAGCTACAACATAGTTGATTTTTAAATTGCTTCTGAATTGGCCTGGCAAGTCACTCGTATTTTTTATCAGCACAGTTCTGAGAACTGGTAATCCATGTAGATTGCAGCAGTTGAAGATGGTGGCATATTACCACATTGCTCAGAGCAGTTAGGGGTGGGCAATAATGTTGCCACATAGCCAGCAGTTTCTACATTTCATGAAAAGAGTATTGAAATTTGGACCCCTGTTAGCAAAATGAGCAAATGTCAGAATCAATCAAATCAGTGTTGTGGCTATATGTAACACCCTAATTACAACAGTGGGGAAATATTACTTGAGCATTGTCATCTCCCATTCCAGACTCCCACCTCCCCCCCCCCCCCCCCACCCCCCACCACCCAAAACAAAAAGGCAGTAAATCTTGGATGGAAGGGAGAGAAAACTGGCTGTATCCAACCAGCAACTGCAATGGTTAAAAACTCAATTTTGGATGGCAATATTAGAGTTAATGACATTGGGGCTACGAGACTAATACAAGATTTGTTTTTGTGGGAGTGACTTTTCTTATTTGGAGGAGATGGCTGGGTTACTGTGATCAATATTTTGCACTTTATAATTCTGCAGATCTTAGATTCATGAGTGCTTCAAATTTGGATTCATTGAATGATTTTGGATTCATTCATTCAATCCAAAGCTTGAGTTGGATCATTGTTTCTAAGCTCCCAAAGGACAAATTCAGATCAGCGAAAGTCCTGTCAAGGCACGTAGCTTGAGATAAGAAATCACAAGTTCGTGAGAACAAAGCAGGAGTAGGCTGTTTTACTAATTGATCTGGCTCTCATGGCTTTCTTGTCCATCAAAAATCTGTCTAACTCAGCCTTGACTGAATGACTTGACTTCTGCTGTTGCCTGGGGAATAACTGTAAAAGAGGAAATTTCTCCTCATCTGTTTTAAATGGATAACTCCTTATTTTTAAACTCTGCTCACAGTTCTAGATATCTCCATGAGGAAAAAGCTGCCTCAGAATTTTGTATATTTCAATAAGGTCATGTGTCATTCTTCTAAACTTCAATAAGCATGGATTCAAACACTTTCCTCATAAGACTACCCATTCATCCCAGCAAACAGTGAACCTCTCTGCGCCACTTTCTTCATGAGTAACAAGACCAAATCGTAACACAGTACTCCAGGCCCAGTCTCTCTCAAGCCGAATACAACAGGCAGAACTTCCTTACTTTTACACTTAGGCCAACATTCTGTTTGCCTTCCTAATTTATACACTGTACCTGCATGCTAAGTTTTTGTGAATCATGTTACTGATTGAGAGAAATGGAATTTTTTTTTGCTTTTATTCTTGTGCCTCTGTTGTTAGTAAAAAGGTACATGTTTTAAACCCCTTTTGGGTGTGGTGATCTTTTTCTAATCATAGGCTCTAAACAGGCTTTCTGGTAAATTTAAATTAGAATTAAAGGTAAATGTTTACTTACATGACACCCTAAAATATAAAAAATGACTATAGAGTATCCCTGTGAAGTGTTTGTTTGGCTGGGTTAATAATAAAAAAGGAGTGTTCAGTTATTTTGTTTAAAAGAGTAAGTTGCCTATCAAAGTGTTGTTCAGTTAATCATGCGTTTACGCTATTATTACAGTAAACACCTTAATGCATGAAATCTTGATGTGTCACTCTTTCAACTATTAACTGGAGGTGCAAATCTATGGGGATGATATCACATCTTATGTTGTAAGGAGAGATTTTTTTTAGCTTCTCTTTTCCTTTCTATAAGCTTGTACAAACTTCAGTTTTCATTTGTCTTGCTAATTTTCTCTCATTCTCCAGTTTTTATTTTCATCATTCTTTGTTGATTTCTACAGTCATCTTGGCTACCTGTCATCTTTGCCACATTATAAATGGTTACCAATTTTGTTTTTATTGAATAAAAAAAACTTTGAACTCAAAATTAAAAGAAGAAAATTGATCAAAAAATGGTAATTTGGCCTGTGCCAAAAAAAAATTCATATTGTTAATTAGGACACGGGCATCCATGTAGGAGAAGACAGTAAAATCTACAAATCTGCAGTTTCTTAAGGACAATGAGATATATTTCTTGTGGCAAAAGTTTTGATTTTTGACGAAATTGGTAAACTTATTTTGCTTTTTTGTTTACAAATGTAAATTCACAGTGTAGTAATGTAGTTTTATAAGAATTGAAGTTGCAATTTCTCTCTCTTTTTCAGTCCTCCCTGTTCCTGAGTAAATTGGTTCCTTTGGTTTGATTGATTCTGAGAAGTCTGATAAATTCACCGTGCGTTCTGCAGACTCTGCCACATATGGGACAAGTGCTGCTTGAAAGGTTGGGTAAATAGGTTGCCCAGAGGTTTGTGCAATCTGTATTGTGTCTCAACTTTGCCTCTACATTGCTGACAAACTCTTTAGTTATGTTCAATGTCTTCTCAAATGAGATTTCTTTATCTTTGCCAGCTACAAGCCAGGGGGCTCTGCTCCGTTTGACCTCTTCAAGAAGCTTAGCAGCCCTTCAAGGTGTTTCCACTGTCCTGATCGGAGTATCTTGCCACGATCAAGTTCCGGGTCGAGCATTTGCTTTGGAATTCTGGTGTCAGGCACATGAACAGCTTGTCTCACCCAGCAAAGCTAATTTGGAGTGATTAGCACCTTGATGCTGGGTGATGAGGCTTGGGAGAGGCTCTGCTGTTGAACCATCTTTCTTGACACCTGATTTGTCGGATCTTGCCGAGGCACCTTGCTATTAATTCTCCAGAGCTTTGAGGCAGTACGCCAGTATTGCATGCAAAGCACCCCAAGAATGTATGTCTTATAAGACCTAAACAGGAAGGAGAGTTTTCACAAACAACAATTGCAAGTTAGCTGCACTTGCTTTGCTTTTTTTTTAAAAGCAAAATATATTGGTGAAGCTTATTTTTGTTTAAAAATGCATTATGTTGTGGCAAGGCCCTTTAGGTAATTGGTGCATGTTTAAATTTCTCTTTAAATGTCAAGTCTCTATGGAGGTCGTAACAAATAGAACATTCAAAGAAATTGTGCTGCCGTTTTTTTTAATATTGAGTATGGGCATAATGACGAATATTGAGTGCGAAAATTTTTGTGGTTGAACAGAAATTATTTGGCACTTAATAGCATGGATTCATTCCACAGTTTAGTTCCTGCATCGACTTAAAGCACTTCTCCCCAAAGACAACATTTTAAAAAAAATGTGATTAGTTCACTTTCATCAATAACCTGAAACAAGAAAGCACACACAGACAAGAGCAACTCTGTGGAGATCACAGCGCAGTGTGCAGTAAAAATGTATGACCTAATAAGTTTATGTTTAGAGGCTCATTTGTTAAAACTCTTGGATTGCTAATTTGTGTCTGCAAGATGAATGGATGAGATATCTGTAATGTGTGAGATTAATAATGATGGATGAGGAGTTTTTTTACCCCAATGTTTGTGGCTTTAAACCTTTGGAAGGAAGACACCCATCATGGGGGAGCATTGTATTTTGAATGTATGTAAGATATGCTCCACTCCTGTATTCAGTCATGTGCTGCTTATTGATAGATTTGTTAGTGCTTTAGTTTAATGTTATTTTACAACAATTTGATATGTTATGTGGACAGTAACTGTGGAAACTTTTTTTTAAAAATAGTTATCATAGAATCCCTGCAGTGTGGAAACAGGCCCTTCGGCCCAACAAGTCCACACCGAACCTCAGAGCATCCCACCTAATCTACACATTCCTGAACACTATGGACAATTTCCCATGCCAATCCACCCTAGCCTGCACATCTTTGGACTGTGGGAGGAAACCGGAGCACCTGGAGGAAACCCACGCAGACACTGGGAGAATGTGTAAACTCCACACAGCCTGAGGGTAGAATCGAACCCGGGTTCCTGGTGCTGTGAGGCAGCAGTGCTAACCACTGAGCCACCGTGCCACCCCCTATAATAAAGGAATTGTTTGATCACTCTGAAATATAGTTGTGGGAGCTTGAGCCTAGTGTGTATCTTTTAATGGCTCCATGATCTGCACGGAACACCAAAACAAGTAACAAATGAGTGACATGGGATTGCACTGCTTTGGCATAGATTTTGTTTCAAAGTTTGGAAGCCTTTAATGCACATTAATGCTCTTTCACCTAACCAGCTTGCTCCTCTAAAGTTCTATCCGATACGGTGATAAAACTTAGATACTCAGTGGTTTTAGTGGCAACAGTGCATAAGATAGGCACAGCAGTTCATTTGAATCTGGTACATACATATTGTTTCTGTGCAGGATACATTATCTTGTTTTCTCCATTAGTTCCTCTCTGTTTTAGTTGCTGTAAATGTGATAATTTCTAGTTTTTGTGCAATTCAAGTTTTTTGCTCTGATTTGTAGAAATACTAACCAATCTGTTGCTACCACTTCTCTACCTTCCTCTTACTCTTCTTTTCTCCTCCCTTCTTCTAATTTTAAGCCTAAAATCTGCAGTGGTTTGATGATTACTGTAAATGTTGCATTTGTGGAAGAGTTAACCTACCATACGGTGTTTCTAAGATTATTTTTTGAAGTTGGTGGCCAGCTTCTTTTATAAATAGGAGACAGATACAATGGGGAGCATTAAATTACCCCTGTTCTCTCCTTGGTTTTTCAACCCATTAAAAAAAATGAGCAAATTAAAATGCAAAAATAGAAATATGTAGACAAAATTGAAAATTAATTTAATCAAATAGTTGTTTATCATTGCTTTGCTTTCATTTTTTGAAAAGACTTTCACAGGAAGTGGATGTTTCTGGGAAGGCCAACATTTAGTGCCCATCCCTAATTGCCCTTAAGCAATTCTCAGCAATGTGTGCCTTGCTTAAGTCATTTCAGAGGGTATTTAAGTGTCAGTCACATTGCTGTGGATTTGAGTTTGCATGTAGGCCAGATCAGGTAAATATGGCCAATTTCCTTCCCCAAACAGTATCCGTGAACCAGAAGATTTTTCCTGCCAATGGATGATAGCTTTCAATTTCAATTTCAATTTTGATGAACTGCAGTTATTAATTGACTTCAAATTCTAATATGTGCCATGGTAGTTTTCAGAGCTCTGTCTTTGAGGGTATTAACCTGTGCCTCTGGATTGCTAGTCCAGTGGCGTTGCCACTACACCACCATGTTTGCCCATCTTGTTATGGTGAATTGAAAGCAAAATATTGGGCATGATGGATTCTGAAATAAAAACAAAATTCTGAAAACACAGGTCAGAAAGCATTGGTGGAGAAAGAAATTGAGTTTAAAGTTTCAGGTCAATGAAGGCCTTATTATAGTTTTCATCCATTATTGATCTGATCTATTCTTCAGGCAATATTTTTTGTAACAAAAAACAACCTACAAAGCTAATTCAAATAATCATCTAAATCGAAGATAGTCATATGGAAGAACAAAACACAAGCTTTGCTGATAAAGATGTATTATCCCTAAGTTTTTTGTCTTATGCTCAACAGAACATTTGCAAGAATACTGTGGTAAAGAACAACCTTTTCATACTAAAAACTGAAAGAACTGTGGATGCTGTAAATCAAACAAAAACAGAGGTTGCTGGAAAAGCTCAGCATGTGTGGTAGCATCTGTGAAGAGAAATCAGAGTTCATGTTTCAGGTCTTCCTCAGAAGTTTTTCATACTGTATGATTGGTTACTAACTGGTGGTGTTTCCATGAGAATGTATCTTGGTCTGAATAGCACAAATTTCTTTGGATGCATTCTCTCTGACAACGCTATTACCAATTAGAATTACTTTTAATTGTAAAAAGAACTTATGCGACCAATTAATTTGATGGAAGGAACTTGCGTACGATGAGGATTTCATCCTACATTCTTTGAAGTTAGTTACTTTTCCCAAACAAATAGTAGTGATAGCAATAGTATCATTTTTTGTTGGCAGTTTTTTGAATGTAAAGTCAGTTACTGGCAGACAGTATATATACACTGGTGCAGTATAGATGGGTAGTTTTGGCAAAGATCGTTGAAGATGGCTTGAAAGTAGCCAGTTGTATAGAAGTTCGTGATCGTGATGGTTTTCACAAGTAGTTTGAGTTCTGAACAAAGTTTGCAGTAGAACTGCAGAAGACTGTAATGCTCCAGGACAGCCTTCCTGCATCAGAATAAGTAATGAAGGCAAATCTTCTCAAAATCTTTCAAGGAGCTTTGACATGACTTAGGATACAGTCCTGTTTTGTGTGTTTTTGTCAAAATGATCATCCTCTAACTCTTAGGAATTCCCTAAAAATACTGATTGTATCGGATATATAGCTTACTACATAAATGTACATTCTCAAATGAAGTTGAGATCACCTTCAAGCAGTCAGTTGTGAGGGAAAAAATGTCTATTGATGACTACTTGTCATACGAAGATGTCTGGATAAACATATGGATGATAATGGAATAGTTTAGGTTAGATGGGCTTCGGATTGGTTTCACAGGTCGGCGCAACATCGAGGGCCGAAGGGCCTGTACTGTGCTGTAATGTTCTATGTTCTATTATATCAGATGGTGATCTTTTCTAATTTGGTCACCATCTTGATTCAATTTTACAATCAGGGATATAAAAAATTATTCCATTTTTGCCAGTATAATATGACAGGTTTTAAGTTGTGTTCAATATTTTGTTTTTTGAAAATAACCTTCATGAGAAAACTGAAAACTAGTGGATTGAGGTTATGTCAATAAAGCATGAAGTAAAATCAAATGTAATATTCTTCTCTCTGTCACCAGGTGTATAGTGTGTAGGAGATTGCAAGTCTTTAATGGTATTTATTTAAGTTAAATATTGCTGTAGCTGCTCAAAATACTATACTGTTATAACTCTGGTACAGTGGAAACGTCATTTGTGAAAAGGATGTAGATTTGTTAGACTGAGCTGGGCAATTTGCTTATTTAAATTCAATATTCCGAAAAAAATGCATTTATCTTAGAATGTTTTCTGAGCTTCTGAAGTGAGTGAAGTATTAATGTCATTGCAAATCAAAGCTGATTTACTGAAAGTAAATGATCCAATGTTGGGCTGACTGTGTTTCATCAATCTATAATTTCTTACCTATATATTGAATAGATTGGAGAATTAATTCTGATATAACAGTATCAGATTTCCGTTAATAACTTATTTTCAAGCTTCTGAAGAAACTTTTCCAGCAACTTACAAAAAAGATTTTTTCAATTTATTACATTTGACCAAATAATTTTGCAACACAGTCAGTATTAATTCTGATTTCATTTGGGTAATTTGTAAATATTTCTGTTAATTTTACCGCTGTCAATACAGCCTGTGAAATGCAGTGGCTGTAAGATGGATCATTAAAATTAATCAGTTTTACTTAATGCATGGTAAATGACTTCCCGGGTTATTCAAAATGTTTAGCGTAACAGACCCAATATAGCCAGCTGCTGCTTTTAAAATTAATTGATGTGATATAGGCATCGCTAGTTGGGCCAACATTTATTACCTGCCCCTAGTTGCCCTTGGGAAGATGGTAGTGAGCTACCTTCTTGAACCTCTGAAGTCCATGTGCTGCAGGTCGACACACAATGTCGTGAGGGAGGAATTTCCTGGATTTTGACTTGGCAACACTGAAGGAATGGTGATATATTTCCAAGTCAGGATTGCATGTGGTTTGGAGGGGAACTTGCAAGTCGTGATGTTCCCTTACATCCCTTATCCTACCAGACGGTAATTGTCATGGGTTTGGAAGGTGGCATCAAAGGAGTTTTGGTGAATTTCTGCAGGGCTGCTTAAGATGTTAGACACTGCTGCTACTGAGCATCCATAGTGGAGGTGGTTAATGTTTATGGATGTGATGCTAATTAAGCAGTGTCTTGACACTGTCAAACTGTTTAAGTCTTGTTGAACTACAGTTATCTGGGCATGTGGGAATATCTGTTCTGAAGAAGGGTCACTGGATTCAAAACATTAACTCTGCTTTCTTTCTATAGATGCTGCCCGACCTGGTGAGGTTTTCCAACCAGTTTCTGTTCTTGTTTCTGATTTCCAGAACTGCAGGTTTTTTTTGTGAGGAATATTTTAATACACTCCTGACTTATGTCTTGTAGATGGTGGACAGGCTTTGGGAAGTCAGGACACGAGTTACTCACTGCAGGATTCCTAGCTTGTGATGAACACATTACAAACAGTCACAACTGCATTAGCAAAGTTTGGTTATTTCAAAGCTTTCAACATCTGTGCTGTATTACAGTTTTTGAATTAAATATTCAACTCTGTGATTTTTGTTTTAAAAAAGTTTTTGTCTAATCTTGTTAAATTATTTACATAATTCTATTGTCAAATTGAGTCAAGAATAGAGAACCAGTACAAAACAGGAGACTCTAATCTTGAAAACTAACATGTTGATCCAGAATCTGCCTTGATTATACAAGTATGTCATGAGAGGCTATCTGGTTGCCTTTACCAATACATATCCTTAAAATATTTTCTTTTCATCATTTTAAAGCAGTCTAACAAAATGAAAATATTAAACATTTGAAGAAGTAGTCTAGTTGGGATTGCCTGACTGGTGACACAAATGATTTTGACACAAGCTAAGTTCTCTACTCAGACCCATTTGCTCCTTTCACCTGCAAAACATTTGGCTGCCAATGATTTTCTAGTCTTGAGGTTGGTTGGCTCGCCGAGCTGGTTTGTTGTTCCGCAGATGTTTCGTTACCGTGCTTGGTAACATCCTCAGTGCAGCCTCTGATGAAGCGTCGGTGTGTTTTCCCGCCTGGCTTTTAAACTCTGGGGTCCGTTGCGATGGATTGCCTCACTTCCGGGTTTCCTCCGTAGTGGAATGTATACGGGGTCGAGTTCAATGTGTTTATCAATAGCCTGCTTCGTGGAGTGCCATGCTTCCAGGAATTCTCGTGCTTGTCTCTGCCTAGCCTGTCCCAGGATCTTGGTGTTGTCCCAGTCGAAGTCGTGGTTCTCCTTGTCCATGTGGATTGAGATGAGTGAGTATTGGTCGTGTCTTTTTGTAGGCAGTTGGTGTTCATGTACTCTTGTTAGTTTCCTTCCTGTTTGTCCGATGTAGTGTTCCTCGCAGTCTCTGCAGGGGATCTTGTAGATGACATTGGTCCTGTCCATGGCAGGGAGTGGGTCTCTAGTTTGGATGAGCACTTGTCGTAGGGTTGGTGTGGGTTTGTGTGCCACTCTGACACCCAGCGGTCGTAGAAGTCTTGTGGCGAGTTCTGACGTGTTCCTGATGTAGGGTAGTGTGATGAGTGTGTCGGGGCGTGTAGAATCTTTCTGATGCTGTTGCTGTAGGCATCTCCTGACCCAGTTCCTTGCCCAGTGAAGTAGTTGATGCTACTTCAGTAAACGTTTTTAAGAAAAAAGGCAGTTTTTTTTTGAACAATAAAGGAATTAAGGGACATGGTGAGAACGCGGGTAAGTGGATCTGAGTCCACGAAAAGATCAGCCATGATCTTATTGAATGGCGGAGCAGGCTCGAAGGGCCAGACGGCCTACTCCTGCTCCTAGTTCTTATGTTCTTATATCCATTATCCTTGAACACTTGGAAGAGGTATTCCTCCTCCTCTTGGCGTAGCTCTATGTTGCTGCAGTGTGTTGTTGCCCTTTTAAATAGTGTTCGCACGCAGCTTCGTTTGTGTCTGTTGGGATGGTGGCTTTTCGGTGTACTTTCGTTTGCAGTTCCCCTATCTCCGGACTCCTAGCAGAAACAGTGATGCAAAGACTGGAAAGGACTGCCCTTCCGCGAATCTAACCTAAAGTATGGATACGCTACGTAGATGACACCTTTGTCATCATTAAACGGACCAAACTAGAAGAGAGAGACAAACTCATAAACAACACCCTTACCAGAATAAAATTCACCAGAGAGGAGGAGAAGAACAAACAACTCCCATTCCTGGACGTCATGGAAGAGCGCAAGACAAATGGGGAACTGCAAACGAAAGTACACCAAAAAGCCACACACACAGACCAGGTATTGAACTTCAATAGTCACCATCCCAACACACACACACAAAGCTGCGTGCGAACACTATTTAAAGGGCAATAACACACTGCAGCAACATGGAACTACGCCAAGAGGAGGAGGAATACTTCTTCCAAGTGTTCAAGGATAATGGATATCCAAAGAACTGGGTCAGGAGATGCCTACAGCAACAGCATCAGAAAGATTCTACACGCCCCGACACACTCATCACACTACCCTACATCAGGAACACGTCAGAACTCGCCACAAGACTTCTACGACCGCTGGGCGTCAGAGTGGCACACAAGCCCACATCAACCCTACGACAAGTGCTCACCCGAACTAAAGACCTACTCTCCGCCATGGACAGGATCAATGTCATCTGCAAGATCCCCTGCAGAGACTGCGAGAAACACTACATCAGACAAACGGGAAGGAAACTAACAACAAGAGTACATGAACACCAACTGCCTACAAAAAGACACGACCAATACTCGCTCATCTCAATCCACATGGACAAGGAGAACCACGACTTCGACTGGGACAACACCAAGATCCTGGGACAGGCTAGGCAGAGACAAGCACGAGAATTCCTGGAAGCATGGCACTCCACGAAGCATGGTATTGATAAACACATTGAACTCAACCCCGTATACATTCCACTACGGAGGAAACCCGGAAGTGAGGCAATCCATCGCAACGGACCCCAGAGTTTAAAAACCAGGCAGGAAAACAACCGACGCTTCATCAGAGGCTGCACTGAGGATGTTACCGAGCACGGTAACGAAACGTCTGCGGAACAACAAACCAGCTCGGCGAGCCAACCAACCTCAACACCCACAACCTGAGCTACAGATCTACTCCAAAACCTTAGATCTTCCAGTCTTTTAGAGGTCACAGCAAGACAAAATGCTACTGATCTTGAAAATAATTACGCCAAGCAGTAATTATAATCACATTTCTAAGAAAAAAAATTCAGGTGCTACCAGGAAAAATCGATCAAATTATAAATCTCCTGATGAAATCAATCATAACCATTATTCCCACTTAAAAGCACATGAAGCAGTTTATAGTAACGTTCATTCATTTGATGGGAATCACATGGCACAATTTTCCTGCCAACAATTTTGGATAGTGAACCAAGTAAAAATGATTTATTCTGTATCAAATTGGTTACAAGGGTGTGTAATGAAAAACCATGCATCTCAGTTGCACAAAGTTGGTCCTGAATCCAAGAAGGAGGCATTAGGAAGAGCACAGTCCTCAAGTTCATAGAATTTGAGGAGAATGGTGAAGAGGTTCAGGGAGGGAATTCTAGACCCCAGGTAACTCCAGGCACGAATACCAATGCTGAAGTTAAAGGAGTGCAGAAGAGACCAGAGTTGGAGAAAATTTATCAATGAGTTATAACCTCAGAGAAGCTTTCAGAGATGGAGCAACCATTATGGTGTTCAAGCATGAATTCAAGGTGTTGGGTATCCAGGATCCAATGTAATTAGCAAGGACAATGAAAGTACAGAATAAGATATGGGCAGCTAAGTTGTGGCTGAGCTGGAAATTAACGGACTTGGGCATTAAGGATGGGTCACTAGCCAAGATACTGGAATGTTCATTATTAGGGTGACAAAAGCATGGCTATTGGGTTTCGCTGGTAATGTGTAAGGAACATAGAAATGGGAATAGGCTGTTGAGCCTGTTCCTCCATTTGATTAGATGTGGCTGATCATGGCCTAACTCCAGATGTCTGGCTTAGGCCCATATCTCGCAGTGCCTTTGCTTAACAGAAGCTTATACCTATTTAAAATTAACAACTGATCCAGCATCCACTGCCATTTACTAAGAGAATTCTAAACATCTACCACAGTTTGTATGTAGAATTGCTTCCTAATATCTCTGAGACTATGCCCTCTTATTCTAGAATCTCTAACCAGTGGAGATAGTTTGTCTTTGTCTGTCTTGTCTTTTTTGATGACTTTGATCTGATCACCCTTAACCTTCTAAATTCCGGAGAAAACAGGACAAATTTGAATAATATCTCCTCATAACTTAACCCTGAAGTCCAGGTATCATTGTTGGAAATCTATGCTGTACTCCCTCCAAGGCCAAGCTATCCTTCCTAAGGTGTGGTGTCCAGATCTGTTCACAGTGCTCCAAGTAGGGTCTAACCAGGATTTTGTTTAGCAGCCACATAACATCTGCCTCTCATATTCCAGTCCTTGAGATAGGAATTACTGCATTCCATTAGCTTTCTTGGATTATTTTCAGCACTTGTTTGTTACATTTTAATGATCCATCCACCTGAACTCTCAAGTTTCTTTGGACATCCACTGTATTTAACTTCATAACATCTAGAATGTACCCTGCTCTAACCTTTATCCAAAATGGATAACCTTATGCTTGCTTACATCGAACTCCATCTGCCACAGTTTTGTCCATTCACTTCATTATCCCTTTGTAATTTTATGCTGTCATCTACACTAACTTTTTGTCATCAGCAAATCTGGATAAATGACTTTCTGCTTTCTATCCAAGTCATATAACAAATAATGTGAATAATTGAGGCCCAAAGACAGATCCTTGTGGAATGCCATCCTGACAATTTAAGTACCTGCCTACTTTCTGTCACCTGCCATTGAACCTATTTCCCAGCCATGGCAGTAATTTGCTCTCAATTCTGTGGCTCCTCCCTTAATTAACAATCTCTTATGTGAGATTTATCAAATGCTTTCTGGAAGCGTATATAAACAATATCCATAGACATTTCCCATCCACTACCTCAGACACCTCTTCTAAAATGCAATGAGTTTTGTCAGGTGTGACCTACCTATCATGAATCCATGCTGGCTCTTGCTGATTGACTGAAAATTCCAATGTGTTCAGCTACCCCATCTTTGATTATAAACTCCATCAATTTCTCTACACAGATGTTAAGCTAACTGATCCGTAATTCCCTGGTTTTCCTCATTTGCCCTTCTTAAACAACAAAGTGACATGCATTGAGTCACAGTTGTGATGGAGCTGGAATTGGGCACTC